CCCCCCCATCCCCCAAGTGTGATGCTTGATCACTCACGAAACTGGATTTATGACCCTTCTACATGTATCATCTTTTCAATTTTAGTTTAAAATGAAAATGTTTTCAATGGGACAGGTAAAATATAGTAATAAATATAGTCCCCCCGGTAATAAAGTGACAAATAATGCCGGTGAATATTTAAAATCACTGATTAAAATGAAAAGATTAATACAAAAACTAGTTTAAAATTCTATGCCCAAACTTGAGTTTCCCCTGAGGTGTCTGATCAATAAACATATAAATGTAGTTATAGAGACGGTTTCATGATCAAAGGTCCGGGGTTCAAATCCTGGTGTTGCCCACTTACATTTGTATACTCTGAACACTGTTGTTGATTTTCTTTTCCTTTACTATTTCAATAAGGTTCCTCAAGGTATGATTTTCTTTTCCTTTACTATTTCAATAAGGTTCCTTAAGGTATGATTTTCTTTTCCTTTACTATTTCAATAAGGTTCCTTAAGGTATGATTTTCTTTTCCTTTACTATTTCAATAAGGTTCCTTAAGGTATGATTTTCTTTTCCTTTACTATTTCAATAAGGTTCCTTAAGGTATGATTTTCTTTTCCTTTACTATTTCAATAAGGTTCCTTAAGGTATGATTTTCTTTTCAGAAATGATTTATCAAACCTACAGTTATACCAGGAAAACATTACCATGAATAGCTATTTTTTTGCATTGGTACAAGGATCCTTAAATAAAAATTACCATCATATAGGAAATACTGACATAGACAATTGGACTATGTAGTATAGACGAATACCACAGTGTTGTCAAGGGTTCTACCTAAACACTGTGGAAAAGATCAGAAAAATTGTCTGTCACAGATTAGACAAAAAAAAGACTTGAAAATAATCCCCCTGCAGTATTTTCCTTCACACAGCAAGCAAAGCAGTCACTGGGACTAGACACATGCATCAAAACTAAAAAGCTTTTTATAATCACAATAAAATGGCAATAAAACAGAACCCTGTAGAAAACATGACTGTAGAACTATTGTAGAATTTCCAGTTACTGGTGTGTAAATGAGGTCATTAACAGGGTTCTTTATAGGATATCATATACGTACTGTAAACATTTCCTTAAAAGCATTGTGAGGTTTTCAACAGATAACCCAAGACTCCTGATTTCTTATGTACAGGTATTTATATTAATTAGTGCAAGAGGAACTTATTAAGGTGTTAAGAGTCTGAGAATCTTTACCCATATGAACATTACACAGGAGGTAATTATTGTTTTTCTACAACGTTCCTATTGTAAACAAATATTTGATACTGTACTGGTGAAGTCAAGGGAACACACAATCATCAAAGTCATGTATTGTGACATGATGACGTTGCACTAAGTGACGATGGTATCTTATAGTTAACTGGTGATGATTTATAGAATGAAGTTGAAAGTGGGCTGTTTTTCCCTTGGGAAAGAAAGGTGTTTTTCCTACCCCGGTGCCAGATATCCTTGTCGCACCCTACGTTTTGAGACAGGGGATTTCCAAGTAAAAATAAAGTGTATGACGTACTCAACAATGTATCGAGTCTGTAATGTCAACATTGTATTATGTATATGACTGGGTCACAAGGTAAGGGGAAAGAATCATTCACCCCCTTTAGGGACAGGGAAATGACAGGGAATATGACAGGGAATCATATTCGACAAACTAAGAATCTTCCCCCTCAGGTTGAGATTCCTCTATTTTGCCCCCCGCCCCCCCCAACCCCCCCCATCCCCACACACTTTTCAGTGCGAGATACCCTTGTATATGACATATATGTTAAGAAGCACTAATGTGACATCAGCAATGCAATACATCAACTACATAAGGTCAACTCAACGTGGCATATATGAATTGCCCAAAACTGAAAGAGAGAAGTATTCCGTCCCCGTAGAGGAGATGGCCATGGGGGATCATCATCTTTGAGGGAAGATTTCTTAACTAGCTAACACTCGTTAAGCTTTGTGTTGGGTAATTTGAGTGTCTTCCCCTCGGGTTGACCTCCTTTTATCTCGCCTCGAAGTGACAGAAAGATTCTTTAAATCATTCATTCACAAAAATGATGTCTGGGAGAAATAATTTGTAAAACCTCATGACTTGTACTTGAAAGAAATATTCACAGTGAATTTTAATGTCAGTCTCCATATAAGGTTTCTGGCAATGCAAACAGTCTGGAAAAGTGGAATGAAATAGAAATTGTAATGATCACTTGAAGTAATTAAATATAACTCGGTTCCTGTAGGTAGGTGACCGTAAAATTAGTTATCAGATTATCCTCCTCCAGAGGGACAAAATATACTGTAGGCAGAAATCTTAGTGTGCTGACTCATAACTATCATCACATAACAAGTTAAGCAGCACCAATCAGGCATCACAATGCATGATCACTATAGCAGGAGGCCTGTTCATAAGATCCAGGTATTGCACATACTCAGTAGAAGTTGCTTTCATGGGATTGGCTAGTACTCTGGTTGGGGGGGTGCATGTAAGGCCACATGTACATATAAGGAGCGGAGGGGGGAGGGGGTGGCAGTGGCAATGCTGTGGTGTTTGAGGGCAGTGGTGTACCGACCCCCAGTGGGGCCTGCTGAAGTCCTGTAGGCCCATCCTGAGAGGTCATAGCTATAGGGAGGGGCACAATATGGGGACCTGACTCTGACTCGTAAGACTGGGCTGGATCAGTGTACACTCGGGGCAGGGGAGGGGATATAGGTACAGGAGAAATGTTGCTCCCGAGGCTCTCACCCCCGGGGGTGACAGAAGTAGTGGGAGGCACAGATCCACCCAGGTTTGGTCTAGTCTGGGTGAATGTCAGTTTGGGATCCCCCGGTTTATCCATAGTTCTGTCTATAAGGTTCTCTATAAGGCGTTCATAACCATGTTCTGAGGTTATACGGTCCAGTTCACTTTCTACCCTATATACTGGAACAGAATCCATCTGATTGTCAATAGGTGGTGTAGTCAGTTTAGCATCTATTTTAGCAAGTGACCGGCTCTTTCTCACGACAGGAGCTGGAACTCCTGATCCAGCTAATCCAGACACATTTTTGCCTGGGTTGGTTGTATTTTTTTCATGCACCTTCATGTGCACACGTAGGTTGTCTGCCCTTGAGCAGGCTTTACCGCAGTAGCTACAGACGTGTTTCTTCTCGACACAGTGTACAGTCTTCTTGTGCTTGGTGAGTCCACCCTTGTCTGGAAAACACCGACCACACTGATCACAGTCAAAAGGCTTCAGTCCCAAATGTCGCCGCTGATGTGCCTTGCATCTCTCCTTCGTTTTAAATGCCTTGCCACAGTCTTGACACTCATATGGCATCTCTGTCTTGTGGACGTACTGGTGAGAATACAAGGTTGCGTAGGTTTTGAATGACTTACCACATGTACTACACTGAAAGGCCTTTTCTTCACTGTGGACGGCTGCGTGGATCTCCAGGGTACTTTTGTACATAAACAAATGGCCACATATATCGCACATGAACCGGGTTCCATCCGCTGTGTGACGGCGCCGATGCGTTTTCATCAAAAATTCTGTCTTGTATTCCTTGCCACAGATATCACAAGTAAACCAGAGGTCGGCAGCGTGTTTTGACTCGGTGTGGTACTTAAGGGCATGGCTGTTAATAAAACCAAGCCCACATGACTTACACTTATAGGGACGAATGTTACCGTGGGACATCTCATGAACGCGCAGGCTGGTCGTATAGGAAAACGCTTTACCACAGATACTACAGGAATACTTCTTCTTGTTTCCATGCACTCCTTCCACATGCATTTTGAGGTGGTTGGAGGTGAGATAACTTTTATCACACAACGTACACTTGTGTGGACGTTTTCCAGTGTGTTTTAACTGATGTAGTCGCAGGCTGTGGTTGAAGTTGAAGGAGGCGCCACACTGTTCACATTTGTAAGGTTTGCTGTCACTGTGTAGACCCCGCTTGTGGTGATAGAGAGATTCCTTACTAGTGAACTCTTTCCCACACAGTTCACACTGGTGCCGCGAGAACTGGTGTGTGGTGGTGATATGTCGTCTCAGCGCTCGAGCCGACAGGTATGTCTTAGAACACTGGTTACATTTCTGTACAGCTGAAAATTGATGGTTAGCCCGCATGTGGCGCTGCATGGCTGTCACCGCGTTAAACAGTTTCGGACAGTGAGAACATTTATGTTTGATCACATCAGGTTTATTACCACCACTGGCAGGCCTCTTTTTACGAGTATTCTTAGACTTTAGTTTTGACATGGGTTTCTGAATGGGTGAGACCTTCGCTTTTTTAAATGTCTGAGGCAAATTTTTTCTCCTTCTTTTCCTACGCTTTTCAACAGCAGGCAGATCTTCTATTCCATGCTTAGTTATCATGTGCTGAAACAGAAGGAGTGTGGAAGTCAAAGCTAGGAACACACTGGATGTTTTATACCTCAGGTCACATCTGTAGTAGTTTGGATTTATTGGGTATAATCATCAAAATTTCAATTGAAATACGGCATGGTGTTATTTGCAGGGTTTTTTTTATATTTAAAAGAGGGTGTACACATGTACAATCCATATGAAGAGTACTATAAAGTTCCACAAGTCCAACCTTTATTTTCGCAGTAAATTTTAGAAATTATTACTAACTTCTACATAAAATCTACCAGAGCTGAGTTTTAGACTAGCGACCTTTTTCACCCTTGATTTACCTTTAGATTTATTTCCTTTAAATTGTTTTAATGCTTTAATTTCATAATTCCTACAAATATGCAAAGATTCAATCATCACAAAATACACAACAATAATAAAGTAGGTGAAAACTGATATCGGAAATAATCTTGTTTAATAGTTTGTAAATACATAGAGATGCATATTTAAACTAGATTTAAATCAAAATCGTTTTTTAATATTATTTTCATGTGATGATGTGCAGAATATACTAAAGTATAATAATTAAAAGGTTGGACATATATCAGTCTCTAACATTGATAAAGTCAGTTCACCGTCAGATTATAGTAACACACTGATATATACTGTACCTCATGCATTGCTGTATTCGATGGACAAATGTCCTGACAGATTTTACAGATGTACACGTTTCCAATGTCATGCTTCACTCTCAAATGTTTCTCAGCTCCCTGCTGACTCCGGAATTTGGACGGACAAAGTGGACACGTGAGCTCTTCCTGTCGGAGCGATGATGCCGATTTCTCGTCATCAGGGGACATAACTGGTGTCGGTTTGATGACCACCACCTCTTGATCCCCTCCGGTGTCCGAATTATCATCCGTTGTTTCACCAAACTCGGGTGGTTCATAGTCTGAATCACAATTTTCTGTTTTAATCTCATTCGACACAAGATTAATTGTAAGTTTCCTTAGTCGTTTGCCTAGAAAAAAATATAGAAAAAAATAATAAAATAATAAAGTCATGTCTTCAATGTACATGGTATACCAATAATGGCAGACTTTTACGTAAACTAGACCCAACAAGCCAAGTAAGCTTTAAAGTTTTATCAAAAAAGTAGTTATAAGTGTAAGCTCCAAAAACTTGATACTCCACCACAACACACCAAAAACATGTGATAATATCATATGCTATAGTATACAATGGGAAAATGGGAAATATCTTTTAAACATGTTTACAACATTTTATCACAACCACTTGGTTCTGCACACACTTTCCTTCCAGTTATCAAATCTTTAACTTGAAACTGATTAAATAATCATTTTAACCCTAATAAAGTTTTTTATGTAATGCTTTTTAAATTAATAAAAGTGAAAATTACCTTTTTTTATGTTTTACTGTCCTATATGTATACACCTACCCAAAGTTTTGTGAGCCTGAAACACATACACACCAATCTTTAGTTAGTTTTACAACCTTCTGAAGTATCTCACCTGGAGGCCCAGTAGTCTTGATGGGAGGACTAATGGATTCAATGTCCGACAACACAGAATCCTGGACCACAGATGGTGTGCTGACGGATAGCTCCATGTCAGGGGAAACGGAAACCTTATCTTCAAAGTCTGTCTGTGTGGACACATCTTGGCAAATTTTCTTTTCTTTAAGAGATCCTAACTCATTTGCTTTATATATTCGGTCTTGATCTGTCTGAATTTCCACATGAACATATGTGTGAGGTTCGGTCTGTATCGCCGCGTTTGTTAATGGTTTCAGAAATACCAGTCCTATGTCTCGTAGGGTAGATAACTCCGTACAACCAACTACATCTTGTAAAACTGTTCTTTGGATTTGAAGAAAATCCTCCCTGTGAGTACTTTTCAAAAATTGGTCTTTCCATAAGAAAGATATTTTCTCAAAATTGTCCACGCAGATATCTGATGAAACTTGAAATTTTATTTCTTCTGAAAAATCGAGCTCCTCTATTAAAATCTTTTTCAGATATGTGTGGAACCGTAGCTTAAGTTTCTCCATTTCCAGCGGTAGCAGGTGCCGGTTACATCTGGAAATACAGCAAAACATTTAATCAGTGTATAATCATCAGTGAATGAATGGGGTTTTTTTGGCTGACAATGTAGCGGAACTGGACTCAGGGTCGATCGTCGGCGACCAGGTATACGTAGCTCAATCGGTCGAGCGTCTGTATAGAGTTCGGAGGTTCCCAGGTTTGAATACCAGTCTGGCTGTTATATTTTCTCTTCCTCCTGTTAAAAATTGGCAAGTTGTACATGTGTCTTCAGGGGCAAGGACTTGGAAAAAGGAAGGAGGAATGTAGCAGAACTGGACTGGGTCGATTGTCAGCGACCAGGTAATTGAATTGGTCTGGCCTTTACATTTTCTCTTTCTCCTGTTACAGTAATAAAACTTGCATGCCGAGTCTTTCAAACAGAAAAGTGTTGATGATTTTTCATTGTACTTCATGCATCTTTATCATTACTTCATAAAACGTTCGATAAGATGTGGTTTTCTTTTCGGAAAGCTTTAAATAGTAATGCCGGAAAAAATGGTTTCAATGCATTAATTACAATAGTGTTATCGATATAGATAGGCCTGTACTGTACATGTTAAAAATGGTTCGGTAGTGGTATGGGATCATCCTTAACTTGTTAAGGGTTAGTTTTCTACACAGTCAGCATGAAGTTCTGTCAAAAATTATTAATAACAGTATCTAATACAAAAAAATACCTATTATATGCTTAGGATGTTTTTGGTATTAACAGTTTTACCGTTATTATTAATTTTTGACAGAACTTCAGGCTCCTGTGGTTTTCTAACATTGCTATAATCGGTACTGTACTGTACACGTTACTGTAAATTACGGTCCGGGTTTATATTTTCGTCGATTCTTAGTTTATAAACCAAGAGAAAGCTGTCACCATAAATCTATTTTCCCTGTGAGCATGTGATTGTTAGGGCCTACTTGTGGATAACAGATGGGGGGGGGGTGCAAACCGGACAGGTAACTAATAAATCGAGTCGACCATGAATCGCTGATGCACAATTTGTGGAATACTGACAAAAGACAATTCCAATATATTTCTTACCTGCTCGCTGGGGTTTATATAAAAATACCCAACATATTTGGTCAATTGTTGTCTTCTTTACAAGGCCGACGATCACACAATCATTGCTACACCCGTTCTATTTATAGCAATCTGCAAAAGTGTGTCTGTACATGACAGACTATTTATCGACTGTATGTGCCTGGCAAAAGGAAGCATATTTACTCCAAAGCATCCAAAATCCCCAAAACACCTAAAAGGCCCCAAAACACCCACAAAAAGCAGTTATACTATATATGAGTGCTTTATATAACAGGCATAAAAGAAAATCCCAGTATAAAACAAATTCACTTTAATACTCGTAAATAACAATTATCCTACATTCTCTACGTATCACGCCTAGTCAATTAACGTGGAGAATGTAGGATATGATTTTAATCAGATTGTGCAATAGAATAAAGTTTGCTAATGACGAAAGTGACATTTGTACCAAGTACTTAATTAAACTGCCAACACCATATAGACACTTAGTGAATACCAATACAATTAAAATGTTTCTATTATATCAGGGATGTGCAGTCATCCCTGATTATAGTTAACTACATCACGGACTTAAACCTATACGTAGCGGACTAGTGTGACAGCTAAGGTATATGAGGGGGGAACACTGCCTTACTCATACCACGGACTTAGATAATCTATATCCGTGCTCATACTAACAAGCTAGCTTTTCCAGTGATGCGGTATAACGGGATCCGCTCACTAGTTCAGCAATGTCGAGCATGGTTAGTCTTTTGGATGGGTGACCGCACGCACGCCACAGCAGGGACAGTATGTATACGTCCCTGCCCACAGCGATCTTATATCTAATCGAGCATAATATATACATATAAATGCAACTACATGAGCACATACACATGAATGTAAACATCCACACCAAAGTATTCCTATATACATATGTACACTATCACCCGACCCAGTCCATAACTCCATCGGCACCTCTCTTTGATTCCCTTCACTTCTTTCATACCCCATCCCCCACCTTCATAATACATCACAACAATTACATCCACTCCCTTTACCACACCTACTATCACACTATATACTAAAATCATAAAATGATATAGTTGTCGACACCAATGGAAAGCTTCAGTTAGCTTCTTGCGGCGCATTTTAATGTTCCTATACTAATACTCGACTTCCGGTGCGTATTGATATAGAGGGTTTAAAATCCTGAAATCTTACAGTTAAAAGGTGAGTTAAGATATTAATGGTCTGACTCGATCTTGCTAATAGCAAGAGGCATTGAATTTACAGGGGTGATCCGACCAGAACTTGTTGAGTCTGTGTTTAAAACTATTTACACTAGGGGCATTTACCACATGGTTTGACAGACTATTCCAGGACTCTACATCCCTATTGCTGTAGCTGTTACTGCTTAGTTGTCTGTTGGTTCTGTTTTTAAACAGCTTTTTGTTGTTCCCTCTTGTTCTGAAATCTTGGGTTTTAGTGAACATTTTGCTGTGATCTACTATGTCTATTCCCTCTAGGATCTTGTATGTTTGGATCAGGTCAGCTCGGTGTCTTCTGTACTCTAGAGTATAGGTAATCCTAGATGGCGCAGTCTCTCCGAGTAGGGTTTGCTTGCTAGACTGGGAATTAGACGAGTTGCCTGCCCTCCTTTGTACATTTTCCAGTAGTTTGATGTCTTTTTCGTAAATATGGTGACCAGACAACACTTGCATATTCAAGGGGTGGGCGGACGAGAGATTTATACAGCGATAAAAACATATTTTTGTCCATAAATGTAAAAGTTCTAAAAATGAGGCCTAGGTTCCTGTTGGCTTTTGCTACAGAAGTTGATATGTGATTTTTAAATTCTGCCTTGCTGTCTACAACGACTCCGAGGTCTTTTTCACTGTCTACTGTACAGATATTGTGTATCTGATCATCTTCTCGATAGTGTAATGGTGATTGTCCTTCGTCTGTCCAGTATTGAGATGTTTGCATTTGTCCACATTGAGTGTCATGAGCCATGTGACGGTCCAATCACAGATTGAGTCAAGATCTGATTGGAGATGGTCTGTATCTTCTTTGCTGTTTATTGTTCTGTAGATTTTTGAATCGTCTGCGAAAAGTTTTGTTGTACTGGAAATGTTATCTGGGAAGTCGTTGATATAAAATGTCGAAACGATGATCAGAACTAAGTGAAAGACACGGTGAGGTTTATAAAAAAGAGGATATTGGTTAAAGTACAGTCAGCTTTATTTTAATTGACGAATGATGAGGAGCAACGGTTACATGAACGTACAAAAAAACCCAGCACCCGCTACACACAGTCCGTCGGATGGGACTATAAATGGTGGCCCGTGTGGTAACGGTCAAATTTTGCACGAAAAATCCCTCTGTTTTTTCTCTCTCAAAAAAGAGTAGGCGTGATAACGCCGAGACAGAGGATAGGGTTATATTAATTTTGGCCATTAGAACTAGACTCTATTTATTAGACATTTAGAAGGAATTCCAAAAAAAATATCCCAAAATATTTTTTATAGAATAGTCAGGAGCTGGTGTGGTTGGTGGCGGCTCAATACCTCACTTCCGGTCCAGGCTTGGTGCTTCTGTATGACTAGTATTAGGTTAAGGCAAACATTATGCCTATATGAGTCGTCTTACAGAAATTAGATTTATACGTTAATACATATAGGATGGACGGCTACTTCTCTCCTCTGTCTCCCCTTTCTATCCATTGACTCCATACTTTACCCCTTCTACTATTTTTCTTTCTTTTTTTCGTCTGCTACGGATAACCGAACTACGTATACTGACGTGGTGAAGCGGACATAAAACCAATCAATCAATCAATCAACCGCCCGCACCTTACACTGGGTCGATCGTTTGCTATAGAAAGCGTCCGTCTAGAGTCCCGAGGGTCCCAGGTTCGAACCCTGGTCTGGCCGTACAGTTTTCCGCTCCTGTTACAGTGGTGCCTGTGACCACGGAACTCGATTCTATCTTAGTCCTTTCTGTGACCAACCCTTGTTATAAGCATTCGGTGTACGCTTGGCCAGGGGATACCCTTACATGGGCTGTAAATAGTTGTGTCTTAGGCGGCGCGAAAACTAAGAAAAAGGAAGGAGATGTAGCTGAACTGGGTATTTTTTCTATCCTGTTACATATATTGTGATTTAAAGTTTAAATATATAAACTAAATTTGTTCAATAAATCGACAATGACATAGTGGAAGCAACAACAGTTATAGAAACGTAGATTTCCTGGTAACAAAGATATATTACCAGAAAATCTACATTTCTATAACTGTTGACAGGGTATGTTGGTGTACTTGCCTCCGTGTAATAGCGCGGCGGATCTGATACCGACGTTATAGTGCTATCTCACTGAAACACCATGCCGAAGGCACCCAGCACAGCATTCCTCCCGGTCACATTAAACTGACAACGGGCGAACCATTGCCAGGTGTATTCTTTTCTCGATTCCTGACCTGCAGGCGTGCGCACATCAAACAAAATTGTCAAATGGCTTTAATAGAAAGTAGAAGATGTCGGTAAACTGTGGCATATATTGATTTGCTGAATAGCCGCATATTAAATCTCTTTAATCTTTGTTACAATACATGCAATACTATGGAGGTGTTTCCTTTGGTCTTGCATGTTAGCTACATATGTACATATACATCGTACACTAGTTAAATATCGTTACGAGATATAGTCTATGTCGTATTTTCATTGAAAGTTCCATGGACCGGGGAATTCAAAGTAAAATACATACAGTAGCCGTTACAATTAATGACGAGGATGACTTCAAATTATCAAATTCAGTCTGATGAATCTTTTATAGGCATAGGGATCAGACATAACTGAGTTTTAGCCCATTTTGCGAAATACCGGTCAACATTTTGTTAAGTTACTTTGAAACAACAAATTATTGTATAGCTATTGTTTAACAAACAAGATAATCGTCAGTTTTTGCTTTCACCTCGAAAGAAAAAGGGTGTATGGTGAGAGATTTCCAATCTCCACGCAGTAGAGTTACGGTCCTTGCATTCCCTTTAATGTGTTTGTGTGCGTGATTGAAAAGGAACGACAACTCTGGGTAGAGATTGGGAGATTTCCTGCTTTCACTTCAGAAATCCCTATATCCGGTGTACAGAGGAACACACAATAGCTGCTTTAATGTGCGTTAATTTGGATCCACTCTGTGATTATGCTTATCGACTATTTTAACCTGATCTGTAGCTAAAGTCGTTATGATAATCAAAGTACTGAGTGTCCTGAGAACTTAAGTTTCCCTGTTACGGTATTAAAATTATATATATGTATATACAGCACAATGTGTTTTAGAATTTCTAGGCAGAGAATCGATGAAATTTAAATTGGATAGGTTGTTTCGATTAAACATGACGACACTATGGAACTGGGACTGAACCAGTATTTGGCCCGTGTTAAATACAAAATGTGGAAACGTCACTTCCTTGTTTGAATTGTTCCTGTTATGGTGTTTAATTGCTGGTTTGTCTCTCCGAAAGTTCGGACGGAAATATCTTACAAGGCACATTGTGTTCATCCTTAAAATGGCGGAAACAAATGGTCGAATTTATATGGCAAGCCAACTTAACATTTATTCAAGGAGCAATGTCGATCCTGTATTTCATCGAATTATATAAGATATCTTATATAATTATATAAGATATCTCATATTCAATAAAAAATATCTTAAATCTACATGAGATATCTTATATATATATGAGATATCTTATATAGCATATGAGATATCTTATATAGCATATGAGATATCTTATATACGATATAAGATATCTTATATACGATATAAGATATCTTATATACGATATAATATATCTTATATACTATATGAGATATATTATATAATATATAAGATATCTTATATATTATATGAAATATCTCATATAGAAATTAAATGAGATATCTTATATAAGTATATAAGGGGGGACTTGTGTCACTATACTCGACAAATTTGTTATCAACAAGAAAGGTCAAGCGTATTTTACGACCCAATTTGGCCATTTTAGGGGGAAAACAAAGCCCTACGCAGTAATGTAGAAAAACAAAGACGTTTCCGCATTTTGGTATGCCTACCAGGGTAATGTCATTGTTTAAAATCTGATTAAAATCAATACCTACTATTGTCTGTCTTATATGTTATATCATGTAATGATTTTTGTGTTTTTGTCTTGATAAAGGGTCGAACTGGATTTTTTTAAATGTCTTACTTCATTGCCCGCAATGTCATGATTACTTCTATGCTTGTGTATAAGAGAGAGACACCTCCGACGATAATATAGCCCGCTCCTCAATACTTATGGTAAAAATAATAATCATAATCAAATACCCTGGCCAAATTCAAGAGGGACATCAAAACTCACCTCTTCACGTCTGCATTTTAGGGTGTCGGCAAATACCACCCTTTATTTGTTCAATTATGTGCAAATTGCTTGCTTAAATGTATAAAAGTGATTGTAAGCCTTTGTTTTTGTTTCATAATTATAACCATTACTATTATCCAATGTTGTAAAGCAATTTACAGTAATTTTACAAATTATATAGGGCGCTATATAAATGTTGTATATTATTATTATAACTATCATTACTTATCGTATTATCTATATACATTATAAATGTTAGTTTTGATTTTATTAATTTGAAGTATAACTTATGTAATGTTGTTGGGATGTAATATGCAATAACTTTATTCGTATTTGTAGATGAACAGTATGTTTTGACTTTGTTGACCAAACTGTATGTAATTACATATAAGTCATAATCTAAAGTAAGAGCTTCTTTCTGGGTTCTCAACACAGCTTTCTTCGTATTTACTTTCTTCTTGTGGTTTATTGTGAATTGAGGAACGTCCTGGTAAAATTACAACAAACACATGACACTTAGCATTTCAAATAATTTTATTCTCCTGTACTGTGACGAAGGAAAGATACAATGTCACTTGTCTAAATAGACAATTTGGATTAAAAAAGGCAAAATTATGCAGTCGATCGTTTCATCCTCATTCACATATTTTTTGTATGCTTTTTGTAGTCTAGCTCTATGAGTAGAGGATTCAGAAACAATCACATGAATACGTATACAAGACAATGTACTTATGCAAATGTGGTTTAGGATGATTATGGAGTGCCTTTTCAAAACAACACAGAAGAGGGCATGTCGCCATCTTAGACGGCCTGATGACTGATTGAAGTATACCCAGGAGGGAAGAATGAAATTGACTAGATCACATCAGATTGTACCAACATCATAAACTATCTGTGAATTTGGGCGAACACCAACTTAAGCTAGGAACCCGAGTATAAAGCGTATTTAGTCAGTTTAATAATTCAAAATATGGTCTAGAATCAAACTTGTATGCCGATGACGGAGCAGACACTGACAGCTGTGATTGCAGTGTGGTACCTATATGATGCCGTTTTAGGCGACACGAGCTGTAAGCGTGTTTCATGTCATTAAGATGGGAAATAAATAATATTTGTGCTCACCTTTGTACATATGAAAGATATAAGCCCCGTGAGCTCTGTGTTTATGCTTGTTTGAGAATTACACCGGTTAAATACATGAAGTATAAAAAGTTTACAGTGACGACCTGATTTAAGAGTATTCAGGCAATACTGTGTTTTACTGTGTAATTTAGTAGGAAATATAGATGTTTACTCTCGATTTTGAAAACATTGTTGAGGCACGCTGTTGCGTATCAGTCCTGTCTGTGAGGAAAATATTTCAAAAAGTTACTGCCTAAAGGGCTGTAATACTGCCTGTTTGTCACAGCTGAGAACACGATCTCATTCATATAGATGTGGCGATACGTGTACCGTCTTTGTAAGGTGAACAAAGCATGGGACAGTCCGATGTACAGTCGACCCTTGTTCCCAAATATGTGGATAGGTTGTGAATGGAACAGTCCACCCCCAACCAGAACAGTGGCTGGATTAATGAGGACGATTGTATTCTAACACTGACTTATCATGAGACAGTCTCTAGACTTGAGCAATTATAAATAAGACTAGTAATAAAAATAGGTATGATAAATGATGTTGAAATGACGATCAAAGGAATCCCTATATGGCGTCTTTGATCAGGAAGTAGTCATGATGACGTGCAATCTCATTGGCAGCTTTCTTGGCTTTGACTGGTCAGTTATGTTGAAGTTTGATCTCCATGGTGGATTTTGACCGGTCATTAAAAGTCGTCTTCAGTATGCTGACCGCCTCCATGTGTGACACTCCCACAAATGACCGATCATCTACAGCCAGAATGGTCATCCCCGGCTACAAAACACGACATTTACAGAGTTCTTCTTAATACCAGCAAACAATTCATGAAGGAATATATTACGAGAAGGAAAAGAGAAAAAGGAATCACAATAACATGCCCAGCTGGTGGTCTGAATCTTGAAGCAATTATGGCAAAATATACTCATCAAATATAATGATGGTTTCCATCTGTTCACCCACCCTCCATTTTAACGATACAAAGGGAATCCCTTAGCCCAGGGATATCCTAGATAAAATATGGTTTAGATCCTTTCTTCCGTATGGAAGGAAAATGCGTATTCCTCTATTCGTACAGAAGAATAATTATTCTAAACATTGATACTTTTTTACTTCACTTTTCCCAAAGATGCTCTACACCAAATTTGGTTAAAAAATCCATTGGTACAAATGACAAAGGATAGTTAGCATGTATTAAGCATGTGGGAGGGAACCGGAATACCCTGGAAAAAATGCCGCGCTGACGGGCAGGTAACGAAATCCACGTTCGATCGGCGATCAAACCTTGGCCGTCTTGGTGTAAGGCAAGTGAGCTATTCACTGACCCACTGATCATGCAAACCCTCCTTAAAATGGAGTGTTATTTTCCCATCGATGCTCTACGTACGCTAATATTTTTTGATAAACCTCTTCATTCGCACAGAAGAAGAATTTTAAAGATTTATCCCTATGTTCCCATAAAGGGACACGCACATTTTTCCAGTCTGCCCGAGGATGTCCTAGACCAAATTTGGTTAAAAGTTATTTCAAATGACTTTTTGAATGCACTTATGTCAAGTTTCAACTTTATTATTACTTTAAGTCGTCCGACCTTTCAGTTACAACATATAAATTTAAACATGCTAGAACGGTTTACATAATGTGGTGTTTTTTTATATAAATTTAGCTCTTATGTCAGAACGTTTTCCTACACCTACAGGGGGATTCACTGGAGAATTCTGGACTTATAACTGACAGGGCAACCTGGTGGGTATTTGCCGTATACTTGTACAGTTGAGGGGTTTACCTGAAGGAAATTGCCTGAGCGTGAAGGGCGCTGTACAGACAAGGAGTTTTCAAGGACGAAGTGGGCAATACAGGTAAGGGGATTACCTGGATAATGAGGGCTGTATAGCCGAGTTTACCTTCAAGGGATGGACTGTACAGGTAAGGGATATACCTCCATAAGGTGAGCTGTAGAGGTGAGTTTACCTTTATAAGATGGGAAGTGGCTGCTGCTCCGTTCTCCAGCACTTTGTCCACCTGAACCTCTGGCTGTCGCTTACTGTTACTGCCTCCGGACACACAAAGTCCTGCAACAATAATTGATTGAAGTTTTCAATTACATGGCTTGCCGAAAAAGTGAATTATAATTGTCGTTTCCTGCCCAGATGTGATTGATCACGTAACAATGTTAACAAAACTACGTAACCATTGGCCTTTTGACAAATACATAAACATGAATATTCCGAAATCCCTGTCGAAATCAAACTTAATATTAAAGCCGTTAATGTTCAGGAAAGATTTTTATTTTCTAAATTAACCTGAATGTAGTTTATCTTTCTCCCATATTTCCCCCTCCACAATGGGAGCGAAATCTTCATGTTTATGAAAACTTGTACTACACATTGTTTTGCTATACATAGTAACATACTATCACAATGAACACAAAATGAACACAGGGTGAATATATTTTTACCGATGAAGGGCAAATATTTCACAGCATAAAACTTTCCACAAGAGCATTCAGTTTAAAAAGCTGATAACTTCAAGTTTAATTAGCTATTGATTAATGCATGTATGGGTGAAATCAAGATACTATAACATTCAATTGACAAAATGATAAAATACATAGGATTTTTTATTTAAAAAAATTGTTTACCAAGAGTCGGTCTATCTTTGGAGATGAGGGTCGTCACCTGATCCCACGGAGTAAAATCCATTTCCATCCTGTAGAATATACACAATAAGTTATATTTATCCATTCTTTATTTACAAAATTAGTTACAATACTTATCTATCCTATAAATATACACAGTAACTTAGTAGATAATAAATAAATAAGTCCTTGCGAAGGAAAATATAGAATAAAAACATTTTTTTCAGATCGTCCGCTAGGCCTTTCTGCCTTCTAGGGCTTCTTCAGGCGGATTGATCGTTATTAATCGTTAGTAACTTATATATATATATAAAACACAATGTAGCTTTTATATATATATAGCTATCCCTCGGCAAGTACAAAGTGAGTTATGATAAGTATCTATCTTATAAAAGATGCCCAGTAAGTTATAATATGCAACAGAAGATACATATTAGTTTTCAATAACATATAAAATAAACTTATTAATTTATACTCTTATATAGAATACACATTAATTTATACTCTAATATACAATAAACATATTAATTTATACTCTAATATAGAATATACACATTTATTTATACTCTTATATAGAATAAACACATTTATTTATACTCTCATATACAATAAACACATTTATTTATACTCTAACATAGAATAAACATATTAATTTATACTCTAATATACAATAAACACATTTATTTATACTCTAATATAGAATAAACATATTAATTTATACTCTAATATACAATTAACACATTTATTTATACTCTAATATACAATAAACACATTAATTTATACTCTAATATACAATAAACATATTAATTTATACTCTTCTATCGAACAATCATGTCAATTAATCATCTACTATATTAACTGATATTTTACTACCGAATGAACAAAATAATGTTATAAGACACAATGTAAATTATTTTACTCTATAAACAGGAAACCCCCACTGTGTCGCCATTTTATCCCAGTAATGTACCCATCCCTTTCAGGAAACTGCCTCCCCTACTGACCCCGAGGGTGTATTAAGCGGTGTCCCGGGGAGTTTGCCTGACATCACATCTACCACGTGTTGTTTTATTCTCTGTTCTTGTTCATGTTGTTCAACGGGCTTGATGTAGAAATGGCCGCTCTCGTCTTGGAATGCAAATAGAAAAAAGTTCATCATTTCCTTTGTTGTTTACCGATTGACCAAGCCTTAGCTCAGCATTAAACAACAGTACAAAGATTTCAGGTCAACGTCACATAAACATTTGACAGCTGATTTAGCATTTCAAGGTCACTCAACCACACGCATCTCTCGTCTTAATCAAAGTCATACAGTCTCAAAGAGGTATACATTCTAGCCACGGTCATACGAAAACACTATTCAATATTTGTTATCTTGTTTAAGGTTATACAAATAAAACAAATAATATCCTCAGGTCGGTCGAGGTCACTGAAAAATATAACTTTTTATTTCAGGTCAAGGTGACATAAAACACACAAAACCTATCAGGTCGTCACACAATACGCATGTACAATCTTGTCGCCTTAGATCAAGGTCATTCAAACACACAAAGTTTCATATCTGTATAAGGTAAAACAAACAAAGAAAACTTTCCTCACGGTCGAGGCTTAAATATGCATTGCTATAAATATGCCTGTGATGTATACTAAGTACGAAATCCAACCACAGTAGGATATCGAAACAGTTCATAATTCTAATTTGACGATTCTCACTGACCTGACTGTCGCCGTCCAATATGTCACTTCTAATGCTTTATTATCGCTCAATTAGTCACGTGATAAGTACATTGTACATGGTATAAACAAAGGGCTCAGTCATACAAAAATATAAAAGTTTACAACCTATTTCATGAGAACAAAAATGTTTGTAAATGATAGGATCTGCCTTAGACTGAAACGATTCATTGAATTAGTCTTTGTCCAGTTGGCATTCATATTGCCTTTGAATGCCAACTGCAAGCAGTTCAATAATTATACATGTATTTGCTATTTTTGGAATATGTTCATCTCACAGAAAATTCATTTCCACTTATTATTCAGCATTTAATTTAAATAATGTATGTATCGTGTATGCTTTTTCATCGAATAGAACAGCAATCGCCCAGGGAGGGTCAGTGGTATCCAACGTAACAATTATGACGTCATAATAATGATGAAATCAACAATCGGTCCATGGCATTCATAGCCTTATGAATGCCGTCTGCATTTAGTGGGGTAACAATTAAAGTGGCATTGCCATACGATGGTAAATATAAGCAGCGGTGTAGTATTGACTTTATACTGCAGTGAACACAAATAGCTGAGTGACACGGACACAACACTACCAACAAAAGTTCTGTGATGGAATAACATGACACGGGCACAACACTAACAACAAAAAGTTCTGTGCTGGAATAACATGACACGGGCACAACACTAACAACAAAAAGTTCTGTGCTGGAATAACATGACACGGGCACAACACTAACAACAAAAAGTTCTGTGATGGAATAACATGACACGGGCACAACACTAACAACAAAAAGTTCTGTGCTGGAATAACATGACACGGGCACAACACTAACAACAAAAAGTTCTGTGCTGGAATAACATGACACGGGCACAACACTAACAACAAAAAGTCAACATTTCAAATTAGTTTATCACAAATACAAAAAAGGTATGATACTGGTATAACACTGAAATAATACTGGTGTAACATTGACATATTACTTGTGTAGCACTGACATAATACTGGTGTAACACTGGCACAATATTGGTGTAACACTGATATAATACTGGTGTAACACTGATATAATACTGGTGTAACACTGACATAATACTGGTGTAACACTGAAATAATACTGGTGTAACATTGACATATTACTTGTGTAGCACTGACATAATACTGGTGTAACACTGAAATATTACTGGTGTAACACGGATATAATACTTGTGTAACACTGACACAATAATGGTGTAACACTGATATAATACTCGTGTAACTCTGACACAATACTGGTGCAACACTGACATAATACTGGTGTAAAACCGACATAATACTGGTATAACACTGATATAGTACTGGTGTAACATTGACATTATAGAGGTGAAACACTGACATAATACTGGAGTAACACTGACACAATACTGGTGTAACGCTGACATAATACTGGTGTAACACGGACATAATACTGGTGCAACACTGACATAATACTGGTGTAACATTGACATATTACATGTGTAGCACTGACATAATACTGGTGTAACATTGACATATTACTTGTGTAGCACTGACATAATACTGGTGTAACATTGACATTATAGAGGTGAAACACTGACATAATACTGGAGTAACACTGACACAATACTGGTGCAACACTGATATAATACTGGTGTAACACCGACATAATACTGGGGTAACACCGACATAATACTGGTGTAACACTGGAACACTATTGGTGTAACACTGATATAATACTCGTGTAACTCTGACACAATACTGGTGCAACACTGATATAATACTGGTGTAACGCTGATATAATACTGGTGTAACACTGAAATATTACTGTTGTAACACTGATATAATACTTGTGTAACACTGACACAACACTGGTGTAACACTGACACAATACTGGTGCAACACTGATATAATACTGGTGTAACACCGACAGAATGCTGGTATAACACTGACATAATTCTGATGTAACACTGACATAATACTGGTGTCACACCGACATAATACTGGTATAACACTGATATAATACTGGTATAACACTGACACAATACTGGTGTAACACTGACAAAATACTGGTGAAACACCGACATAATACTGGAATAACACTGGCACAATACTGGTGTAACACTGACATAATACAGGTGTAACACTGACATATTACTTGCGTAACACTGACACAATACTGGTGCAACACTGATATAATACTGGTGTAACACTAACATAATACTGGTGTAACACGGACATAATACTGGTGTAACACTGACAAAATACTGGTGAAACACCGACATAATACTGGAATAACACTGGCACAATACTGGTGTAACACTGACATAATACAGGTGTAACACTGACATATTACTTGCGTAACACTGACACAATACTGGTATAACACTGATATAGTACTGGTGTAACATTGACATTATAGTGGTACACCGACATAATACTGGTGTAACACTGAAATATTACTGGTGTAACACGGATATAATACTTGTGTAACACTGACACAATACTGGTGTAACACTGACACAATACTGGTATAACACTGATATAATACTGGTGTAACATTGACATTATAGTGGTGTAACACTGACATAATACTGGTGTAACACTGACACAATACTGGTGTAACACTGACATATTACTGGTGTTATACTGATATTATTTGTAGGATACAGGCAGTGAAGACGATAATCGGATACATTTTGTACCTGTAGGAACATTGGCAGGTTCGGGCGATGATGTCGAGTCTGAGGAACAAAGTGTTATAGGTAAATATATCTTAGAAATCAGGAATCAATTTGCCAATAATTTACACAATTAAATCCCTGATGATGTGGTTATACTATTGGTGTCGGGTCCCCTGATGCTTTGCGACGTTCTCCAGTCGTTTTAACACCGTTATTTTGATGTTATTCGAATGACTTGCTCAACAAATACCGCCTTTAAGGAAGGGATTTCGTAAATGGTGTTATGCATCTACAAATATATCATTTTTCATGATGCTTTGTATATTTTGAAATCAGACACACAATGAAGTCTATATTACAATAAAATTAAAAATATTTATGAAGGACAAATCTGCGTCAATGATATTGGCTTCAAGAAATCTAATTATTCTGGTAAAAATCCTCACCTATTTCTGTCATCAACAGATGTTTCTTGGGTTTCCTCCCCTTGTTAACATGATTTAACTGTAGGTGGAGCTTAGTTGATAGCTTTTCATATGCATCCATCTCAATAAGGTGAACTCGCTGATCAAATCGGCTCAAATCGGTCGCATACAACACACCTCTATCAAATACAGTGACAGTTAATCAACCACATACATATTACATCATAGAGCTGTAAGAAAAAGCAATCAGCGTACCGCAAGCAAAGTTCACAACATCAGCTTACTCCTGTAATTGGTATACATGATAAACCTATTTAAATGATTTTGTTTACGATTTTTTTTTTTTTTTTTTTTTTTAAATTTTACACTTATAAATATTTTGAAACAGAAAGTATTATTATAAATAATAGGTCGCAAAGTTACAGCCTATCTATAAAGTTGTGTTACCATGGTGATTGTATAGTAGTTGCCATATATATTTGACATGAAGTGTTGATGTCATAATATTTTACCTGATGTCTCGTAAGAGCAGCATTTTCTCTGGCTTATCTAGGATGGGCAGAATTGCCTGAATCATGCGGTCAAGGTCACGCGAACTGTGATACTGAAATAATATAACAGTTTCTGATTAAATTAATCATCAGGAACCAAGTAGAGAGAGAGCTAGATGAAATAAGCAATTACTTCGAAACACGTTTATATAGATATGTTCCGTTATTTAACAAACATTTGTGAGTTCATGGTAATTTATAGTTTCTACATAACTCCGGGCCTGGTGTCTCATGGTAACTTACATTTTCTACATTACTCGGGGCCTGGTGTCTCATGGTAACTTACAGTTTCCACATAACTCGGTGCCTGGTGGGTCATGGTAACTTACATTTTCTACATAACCTGGGGCCTGGTGTCTCATGGTAACTTAATTTTTTAACATAACTCAGGGCCTGGTGTCTTATGGTAATTTAACGTTTCTACATAACTCGGGGCCTGGTGTCTCATGGCAACTTACAGTTTCTAGATAACTCGGCGCCTGGTGTCTCATGGTAACTTACATTTTCTACATAACCCGGGGCCGGGTGTCTCATGGTAACTTACAGTTTCCACATGTCTCACAGCAGCTGAGTATTCATCTGAACTAAGTAATTTTCTGGATTCCTCTTTCAGGACCACCATGTTGTGTTTGTTAATTGAATTCTTGTGAAGCTTCATGCTGCCGTAGTATTCTCCCCTTGGGTCCAAATTGTCTTCTGTAACCATGGGAACAAATTTCAAATTATACCCCCAAATTGAAAAAAATGCTGTTTAATTTGGAACCACAGACCAAATCAAAAGTATAAGGTATAAATGTATAAGTAAGCTACTGCACAAGAAACAGAAAGGTAAAACGGGGTCAAGTTGAGCTAAATCACAGAACATATATATATATTTAGTAAATAATCAAATCATAATGGCACGAAAAAGTATGGCAAGCTTCATCGCTGAATACCAGCTAGATATGGCTACCATCTGGAAAAAAAAACTGAAATTCAAACATGGTCTCTGCTCATTTTATATTCAGGCCAACTGATCTAGTAGTTTTCATAAATGATCTTTCTTACAATGCAATGTTAAGCTTTCATTTTGTAAAAATATGAAGGTAGATGTGTAAACTAGAACCACAAACCACAAACAAACTACTACTATATAAAATAAAAATAAGAAAAGGAACATTAACTCCCAAATAAATGAGGGGGGGGACACAACTGCGTTTACCGATGATGTAATTCATGTGAACCAAATTGTATATATCCGTATAGAAGGTAAATAGCAATACAATGGACAAAAGTTTGAATGAAGAAGGTGTTAAAATGTTTAACATATTTCATTTGTCTGACCTTGCAATTAGGTCAAGGTCAACTAACTGAGTAACTTTCTAGTCTTAACAATAACAGCTTATGCTGACTTTTGACTTCGGCCAGCTTTAAAGTTAACCTTTGACCTTAAGACAGTAAATAAGATAATGATGTTTTTGAATGATCTCAATTACATAGTAAAGTGACATGGCTCAATATATATATATTTTTCTTTTTCTGAAATGTTTGTCTGTGTAGATGCTTCTGTTCGTATTTATATACAAGACTGGCAACATAATATATATTCGGCTTTGTAATTTGAATAAAAAGCAAATACATTGAACGTGTTAATGCTAAACGACTATAATACAGGCTCTTTCTAAAAGCCAAGTTATTGTCTACGACACAAGCAAACAATTAAATTCTAAGACTAAAGTGCATGTTACTATCTACGACATCAGTGAACTATCAACATGGCTAAAGTGAATGTTTTTATCTACGATATTGGTGAATGTTTATATCTACGATATTGGTGAAGTATTAGACTATAGGATAAAGGTGATTGTAATTATCGACAAGGGTGGATTACTAAGCTCTATGACTAAGGTGATTGTAATTATCTACGACAAGGGGGGGTTACTAAGCTCTATGACTAAGGTTATTATAATTATCTACGACAAGGGTGGGTTACTAAGCTCTATGGCTAAGGTATTGTAATTATCTACGACAAGGGTGAGTAACTAAGCTCTATGACTAAGGTGATTGTAATTATCTACGACAAGGGTGAGTAACTAAGCTCTATGACTAAGGTTATTATAATTATCTACGACAAGGGTGGGTTACGAAGCTCTATGACTAAGGTGATTATAATTATCTACGACAAGGGTGGGGTACTAAGCTCTATGACTAAGGTGATAGTAATGATCTACGTTAAGGGTGAGTTACTAAGCTCTATGGCTAAGGTGATAGTAATTATCTACGACAAGGGTGGGTTACTAAGCTCTTTGACTAAGGTATTGTAATTATCTACGACAAGGGTGAGTTACTAAGCTCTATGACTAAGGTGATTGTAATTATCTACGTTAAGGGTGAGTTACTAAGCTCTTTGACTAAGGTGATTGTAATTATCTACGACAAGGGTGGGTTACTAAGCTCTATGACTAAGGTGATTGTAATTATCTACGTTAAGAGTGAGTTACTAAGCTCTTTGACTAAGGTGATTGTGATTATCTACGACAAGGGTGGGTTACTAAGCTCTATGACTAAGGTGATAGTAATGATTTAAGTTAAGGGTGAGTTACTAAGCTCTATGGCTAAGGTGATAGTAATTATCTACGACAAGGGTGAGTTACTAAGCTCTTTGACTAAGGTGATTGTAATTATCTACCACTTTGATGATCTACATGTATAAACCTCTATGACTAAAATGATTACTAATATCTACCACTCCGGTGAACTGTAAAGCTCTATGACTATGGCGACTGTTATTATCTACGACACATTCCGTATGACAATTGTAATTAATCACTCCATAGATGAGTAAAATGGACAGGCTTTGAAGCTGGATGGCGCTCCTCTGTAATCTTTAAATGACAGATGGCAGCCTATACATTGCATAATCAATTTTTTAGCTGAGACGAAATGATTAGCTAGCCACGTGCCTTCATTTTGCAATGACATATTCCAGGAGTGCAGAGAGTGTATGTAAATGAGTGTAACACCTGGAATATTGAGCCTGTGACTAAGAAGAACTGTCTATGACACGGGTGAACTATAACTGTGACTAAGGTGAATGCTATTATCTACGACATGAGTGAACTATATAGCTCTAGGACTAAGGTGAATGCTATTATCTACGACATGAGTGAACTATATAGCTCTAGGACTAAGGTTTGTAGTTATCTACCACTCCGGGGAACTATTAATATCTACAACTCCATTAAGTGAAGACATAAGAATGAAAACAGAACCTTCAATAAAGGTTGTAGCTTACTTCTCTCCATTTCCTTCACATAGCTGTTTTTGTCAGGTTCTGAAACATTATTTTATAGAATAGATATTCAACGAAAAATAACGATAAAATACTTACCATTCAATAAAACCCAAAACGACTTTGCTTGACGATACATAACAACTCACACCAGAAACCTTCAGTAACATTTAGTATCAGGTGGTGCATATATTGATGAAGTTCATTTACATTTGCAAGTCCTCGCTACCGTGCATTGATGTATTGTCAATACATCAATACACATACATTATATACGTTGTCAATGCATATATTTTGTGTTATTATCTCAATATACATGGCATTTGTGCAGCAACAGCTAAACCTGTAGACTTATTCACAAAATAAATCCATAACTGCTGCGCATGAACAACATGTTATAACATACTAGCAAGAGGTAATGCGTTTAGTTCGATTTTCGTCAGAACACTTAAATTTCACACAAGTAATAATCCGATGCAATAACAATGGGGACAGAATTATAGACAAGAAATCAATTACTGTTCTTTTAGCTTAACAAGAATTCCGAGGGAGTGGATGTGTCGCCTGCTCAGTGCTTTTAGTAAGAAAAGTGTTTTGGCAAAGCTGTAATGTATGTTGAATATTATTGCTTCTAGCATTACCGTACACAATTTGAAAGGAATTGATTAAAAAATAAAAATCAAGTTCTTTCATTTTCTTCACAATGCCCTTATTTGGCAATAAAAGGGGCATAACTCTACCAAAAATGCACGCAAACTTCTGAAATGGAAAATTATCCGAGCTATACTCGTATGCAATATGTGTACTGAGTTTAAGTGCAATCAACCCAAGGGAACTCAAGTTATCGCACGGAAACCTTGTTTCTGACGACGCCGACAAAGTAATACCTATATGTCGCCTCGCCTATGCAAATCCAGGCTCTCTTTCCCTAATAGCAGTATAACGCCAATCAGTACAAAGTGTTAATGTATGAGTGTGTCCGAGTGACAATTTGGTAAAATAAAATTGACGGTCCATCAAACAGGTTTGTCAAAGAGAGATCGTTTGAATGAGTTTTAGAGATTTAGTCATACAATGGCGGATCTTAAGAGGTTTCCGGAATCCCGACAATCCTCTATATTGGTCTATTAAGCTATCTATCAATGGAGACTAGGCGAGAAGTGAAAGTTAAAGGAGGCAAACTCACACCATGACATTTGTTAAAAAACATATTTATGGTTTTGTTCATGATCTAATAATAATCAGTGCACAATCGAATGTATGCTGGTGGAGAAACCTTGGGTTCTAGGGGAATTAATGCGACCACAGTATATCACTGCAAGGTGATCAAGGTTAGAAATGGGAGATTATACTTTATTGTACATCAATTAAGAAATTTAAGGGAATTTTATTTTCACGCGAAGTAAGCATGTCTCAAAAGCCAAGCGATTAAGATAAATGTGTGCACTTATATTGAGGCAGTTCAATCTGTCAGTCTATGTATTGGAAACAATTTTAACATTGGCTGTTTATGGAGACGAAGACACTGAGAGGATACAGATAAATAAGGCAACACAATCTTCTAAACATGAAATAGGAGAGCGCAAGTAGTTACAGGAACGCAAGGAGTTTCGTGTACTGTACTTAGAAGATAATGCAGTAGAATCTTCGCATCAAGAAATGGTTTCAAAGGGCAAATGGAGAGGACATTGGTATAGAGGGGCAAGTGAATGTTTTCCTTTTTATAGGATTTCTGACTCGGGTTCGGACATTTCGTGTGGTAGTAAACCTGAGCTTTCTGTTAATCTTATATCAATACCTATATACAGAATGCAGCGTTTATATAGAGAAGGTTTGTTAGCACCAGTAACATTTTTAGACAGATAAATCACTGTATACAATCTAGCATTGGCACGTTTTTAACATAACACCAATATTGTCAGAATTCACAGGGGATAGTTTGAAAGTATTAGCAGCAATATCAAGTCTTACCTCAAAATTGAATGATTAAAGACAACAGAACTGTCGATTAAATTAAAGCTTATCAAATCTTTTGAAGATCTGAAATCTTAGTTATATAATGCTGTGTTATTTCTACCTTACTTGCCGGATGGTGATTCTCATCATTCAAAAAAGATCGAGTCAAACTAAAAGGCTCGGAGAAGTAAAGAAGCAAAAGTACAAGAAAGCGATATTCAAGAAAACTGCAATGAGCTCTTTACACAAAGTGAGGAGTTCATAAGGTTCCTATGATAAAACAGAGATGTAGCTGCTGAGGGCTTAAGTGATTTAATAACAACTGCTTATTATTCCTGTAAGGTGGATAATGGGAATGCTCAGTTAATCAAACACAGATCCTGAAAAACATTACCAAAAGTTAGAGTTTTAATGATAAATGATATCATTTTCTACCGAAAAATTACAGACTGGTACGGTACCAACTTTCTACAGTTAAATAACTTATGTTACTGGTACGGTTCCCACTTTCTACAGTTAAATTACGTAATATTACTGGTAAAACTCCCACTTATACTGTGGAATTACTATAACTGATATGGTACTCACTTGTAAGGCGCAAACTGCCCTTCAGTTTCTCCTTGATGGCTTTCCATTTCCCACTGATAATGCTGTCCTCCTTTCTTCCTGGCACATCTAGAAAGCTGTCTAAAATGTCAAAATGGACGATGAAGTATAGTCAGACTGTTTACAAAATGTATGTGAACTCGTCTGCTCTTTTTATGCAAAATGTTTTCTAAAGTTGAAACAATGATATATGCAATCATTTCAACGAGGATTATTTCAGAAAAACATGTTCAAAGTGACGATTTTTATACAATGTTTAGAAAACAAACCAACTATGCCTTCATTTGGAGGTGTTCCACCCTGTCTAACTGCAGAGATCAAATACTGACAATCATTCCTAGACCTCACATCTTATAGGGACATGTGGATAATGAGATTGTCAACAATGTGCCGTTTGACAGATATGTTAAGTATATAAGTATATTAAGAATGAAATATGACAGATTTGTAAAGTATGAAAGACGACAGACTTATAAAGTATTAAACTAAACTTGAACAGTATAGAATTCGACTGAAGTCTCTGTATGGCATACTTGGACGGTCTAGAGCGTAACAAGCTTGTACAGTATAGAATACGACTAACGTATATGTATGGCATACTTGGACGGTCTGGAGCGTTACAAGCTTGTACAGTTCGGAATTTAACTTGAACTTGTAAACACTGACATACAACAAAGTTCTCCAGCTTGTTAATCTATCACTATAGTCAGTAGATTTATGTATTTAGCTACAGACAGTAATGTACCATAATTACCATAATTACATACAAATTGCTGCAGTCATTATAAGGTTATTCTCCACACTTTCGACCTAATCAATGCTATTTTTACTTGTCCCCGTCGTATATCTCAGTATATATGGACACATAACAGCTACAAATCTGTTATATCTTAGGACATGTTGGGCTATATTACAGCTATACTATTGTCCTATCTGTGTACATGTTGGGCTATATTACAGCTATATTATTGTCCTATCTGTCTACATGTAGGGCTATATTACAGCTATATTATTGTCCTATCTTAGTACATGTTGGGTTATATTACAGCTATACTATTGTCCTATCTTAGTATATGTTGGGTTATATTACAGCTATATTATTGTCCTATCTGTAAACATGTTGGGCTATATTACAGCTATACTATTGTCCTATCTGTGTACATGCTGGGCTATATTACAGCTATATTATTGTCCTATCTGTAAACATGTTGGGCTATATTACAGCTATATTATTGTCCTATCTGTGTACATGCTGGGCTATATTGCAGCTATATTATTGTCCTATCTGTGTACATGTTGGGCTTTATTACAGCTATATTATTGTCCTATCTGTGTACATGTTGGGCTATATTTCAGCTATATTATTGTCCTATCTGTGAACATGTTGGGCTATATTACAGCTATACTATTGTCCTATCTGTGTACATGTTGGGCTATATTACAGCTATATTATTGTCCTATCTTAGTACATGTTGGGCTATATTACAGCTATAATATTGTCCTATCTGTGTACATGTTGGGCTATATTACAGCTATATCATTGTCTTATCTGTGTACATGCTGGGTTTTATTATAGCTATACTATTGTCCTATCTGTGTACATGCCGGGCTATATTACAGCTATATTATTGTCCTATCTGTGTACATGTTGGGCTTTATTACAGCTATATTATTGTCCTATCTGTGTACATGCTGGGCTATATTACAGCTATATTATTGTCCTATCTGTGTACATGTTTGGCTATATTAAAGCTATAATATTGTCCTATCTGTGTACATGTTGGGCTATATTACAGCTATACTATTGTCCTATCTTAGTACATGTTGGGCTATATAACAGCTATATTATTGTCCTATCTGTGTACAGGTCTATAGTAATTTATTATTTCTGTTGAGTATTGGTTTAGCTGTCTATAGTAACTTATTATTTCTGTTGAGTACTGGTTTAGCTGTCTAAAGTTATTATTATTATTTCTGTTGAGTACTGGTTTAGCTGTCTATAGTAACTCACATTATTTCTGTTGAGTGCTGGTTTAGCTGTCTAAAGTAACTTATTATTATTTCTGTTGAGTACTGGTTTAGCTGTCTATTGTAACTTATTACTATTTCTCTTGAGTACTGGTTTAGCTGTCTATAGTAACTTATTATTATTTATGTTGAGTACTGGTTTAGCTATCTATTGTAACTTATAATTATTTCTGTTGAGTACTGGTCTAGCTGTCTATAGTAACTTATTATTATTTCTGTTGAGTACTGGTGTAGCTGTCTAAAGTAACTTATTATTATTTATGTTGAGTACTGGTTTAGCTGTCAATAGTAACTTATTATTATTTCTGTTGAGTACTGGTGTACCTGTCTATAGTAACTTATCATTATTTCTGTTGAGTACTGGTTTAGCTGTCTATTGTAACTTATTACTATTTCTGTTGAGTACTGGTGTAGCTGTCGATAGTAACTTATCATTATTTCTGTTGAGTATTGGTGTAGCTGTCGATAGTAACTTATTATTATTTCTGTTGAGTACTGGTTTAGCTGTCTATAGTAACTTATTATTATTTCTGTTGAGTACTGGTGCAGCTGTATATAGTAAATTATTACTATTTCTGTTGAGTACTGGTGTAGCTGTCTATAGTAACTTATTATTATTTCTGTTGAGTACTGGTGCAGCTGTATATAGTAACTTATTACTATTTCTGTTGAGTACTGGTTTAGCTGTCTATATTAACTGATCATTATTTCTGTTGAGTACTGGTTTAGCTGTCTATAGTTACTTATCATTATTTTTGTTGAGTACTGGTTTAGCTGTCTATAGTTACTTTTCATTATTTCTGTTGAGTACTGGTGTAGCTGTCTATTGTAACTTATCATTATTTCTGTTGAGTACTGGTTTACCTGTCTATAGTAACTTATTATTATGTCTGTTGAGTACTGGTGTAGCTGTCGATAGTAACTTATCATTATTTCTGTTGAGTACGGGTGTAGCTGTCGATAGTAACTTATTATGATTTCTGTTGAGTACTGGTTTAGCTGTCTATAGTAACTTATTATTATTTCTGTTGAGTACTGGTTTAGCTGTCTATTGTAACTTATTACTATTTCTGTTGAGTACTGGTGTAGCTGTCTATAGTAACTTATTATTATTTCTGTTGAGTACTGGTTTAGCTGTCTATATTAACTTATTACTATTTCTGTTGAGTATTGGTTTAGCTGTCTATAGTTACTTATCATTATTTTTGTTGAGTACTGGTTTAGCTGTCTATAGTTACTTTTCATTATTTCTGTTGAGTACTGGTTTACCTGTCTATAGTAACTTATTATTATGTCTGTTGAGTACTGGTTTAGCTGTATATAGTAACTTATTATTATTTCTGTTGAGTACTGGTGTACCTGTCTAAAGTAACTTATTATTATTTCTGTGTTGAGTACTGGTTTACCTGTCTATAGTAACTTATTATTATTTCTGTTGAGGTCTGGTTTAGCTGTCTATAGTAACTTATTATTATTTCTGTTGAGTACTGGTTTAGCTGGCTATAGTAACTTATTATTATTTCTGTTGAGTACTGATTTAGCTGTCTAAAATAACTTATTATTATTTCTGTTGAGTACTGGTTAAGCTGTCTATAGTAACTTATTATTATTTCTGTTGAGTACTGGTTTAGCTGGCTATAGTAACTTATTATTATTTCTGTTGAGTACTGGTGTACCTGTCTTAAGTAACTTATTATTAATTCTGTTGAGTACTGGTTTAGCTGTCTATTGTAACTTATTACTATTTCTGTTGAGTACTGGTTTACCGTCTATAGTAACTTATTATTATTTCTGTTGAGTACTGGTGTACCTGTCTAAAGTAACTTATTATTATTTCTGTTGAGTATTGGTTTAGCTGTCTATAGTTACTTATCATTATTTCTGTTGAGTACTGGTTTAGCTGTCTATAGTAACTTATTATTATTTCTGTGGAGTGCTGGTTTAGCTGTCTATAGTAACTTATCATTATTATTTCTGTTGAGTACTGGTTTATATCAAAATTGTGCCAGGACAAAACTTAAATAATTAATCAAAATGATAATAAAAATATAAGTGATGTTCACATTATTTGAATCATAAATTTTGTTGTGCCTGATTAACTGAAAATAAAAGTTTCAGTAAATATTTCTGTTGTTTATGCTGTTAATGTTATTTATAAACTTAATGTTCTTGTTGGAATAGAAAAATATTGTTACGAACTATACTTGATCGCCATTATTATTTAAAGTTTGTTTAACATTGTAAACTCACCTGGATGACTTGAATCTGGCCGGTCTTCTGATGATAGCGACGACATCTCGATGAAGCCGAGATTTGACTGCCGCCGCTCTAAATCCCTGATCTGATCATCAAAGTTCTGCATCACACAAATCATATCTTCATCATCCTCCAAACTGACCTCGTATGGGTCGGTAACTGCCTTCTCTGATCTACCGTCTTCTGTTCCCCACCCCTCTGTGTCCCCCTCATCCTGCCTCTGGACTCCTCCGGATCCACCCTCACTATCTGTATCCCACTGCTGCGGAATGTCAGAAACTGAAGACTCCATATATGTAACTGTTTTCGTTCTCGTCTTACTTTCCTCCGTTGCCGCGTTTTTACCGACAGTATTTAAGTTGCAATTAGTGGTGACATTTTCGGAGCCAACGCTTTGTTGGGTAGAGCGAATAAAATCAATATCCATGGAATTTGTCACGGGAGCAAACTCGTAGTGGACTTGCCTCACTTCAGTCTGCTCCATTCTCTCATCACTATGGCTAGGGACATTACCATCACTATGGACGCTGCTGGTGTCCGAAGTGTGGCTAGCTGGCTGGAGAACAAGGACAGCTTGGTCGTGGTCCTCATCACTAACACTATTGTCTGATATTTCAAGGTCACTGAGTGACTCCATGTCTTGAGGTTGGAGGTCGACAAGTTCAACACTACCACTCACCGCTGGGTTATCTCCCATGTCAAGACTATCCTCCGCAAGGTCACCACCCCTAGCAATGATGTCGTCCATAGTGATGTCATATTCACCACGGACACCTGACGAGTCGTCGGTATCTTCAGAACTAATGCTGATCGTATCTAATTCCGACTCACTTGGAAGGTAGGCGGGGTTAACTGACCCAGTAACCTTTGAACCTTTCGATCCTGAAGCTCCAGGCCAGTTTTCAATTTGAATTGGACCATAAGTCCAACTGTTACTCTTCGCGGTGTCATTTCTCTGTACATGTGGCAAATAAATCTCAGATTGAAGAGGGAGTTCGTTAGACTCCCGATGGCTTGTGTAAATCCCAGACTGGATGGGCATACGAAGGTGAAGACCTCGATTTCTCTGTGAACCCTTGTCTAGACACATGTCGCGCAGTTTTGTCTGTTTTATCTTCGGTTGTCCTTCAATAAATAATCATAGGCATTATTTAACAGACGTTAACATGGGTGAACAATACAATCACTACAGGATCTTAAATTATATAATACAATATGATCTCTGTAATTACCCATCAACAGATCACAATCACTCAGGGCGACAGGGTTAATAATGTCAAATCAACACGTCGGGGTCACAGAGGGTCACACAGGGTCACACAATTGTTTTAAATGCCAATCAACACAACAAGGTCATACAGGACAACACGATCGTCTTAATGGTCAATGCAATCAAGTCAGTGTTCAATTTATAAGTAGCAATGTGGTTTCAAAGTGATAGCGGGCAGGAGCAATGAAGACGTGTCAGTACTTCGATCTGACCTATATTTACATGTCGGTCACTGAAGCAGAAGACGCCTACTCTTTCAGACCTCCTGGTCCAAATCACCTGGTACCTTTTCATATATCTACGTGTAAAACATTCCTTTATACAGATGTTGTCAATTGTCAATTGTTTTTGAGTTCAAAGAAAAATGTTCACACCAAATTACACCTTTGTATTCTCTAGTTTTTAATCTGTAACAGCCCATCAACACAACAAGGTTTCTTGACCTTTTTCAAACAATTGGTATGGTTTCTATTTTTAGAGTAATTAACATGGTAATTGACATTTCCTTGATGTTGACATAGTAACAAGTGATATGTCGCAGAGTTTGCAATGATAACGGACCTTTCCTTGTGATGGACCTGACGTCACCTAATGGTTGGCATAGTAACAAGTGATATGTCGGAGTGGTTGCTATGATAACAGACCTTTCCTTGTGATGGTCCCGACGTCACCTAATGGTTGACATAGTAACAAGTGATCTGTCACAGTGGTTGCTATGATAACAGACCTTTCTTTGTGATGGACCTGACGTCACCTAAAGGTTGACATAGTAACAAGTGATACGTCGAAGTGGCTGCTATGATAACAGACCTTTCCTTGTGATGGACCTGACGTCACCTAATGGTTGACATAGTAACACGTGATCTGTCGGAGTGGTTGCTTTGATAACAGACCTTTCCTTGTGATGTACCTGACGTCACCTAATGGTTGACATAGTAACACGTGATAGTAACACGTGATCTGTCGGAGTGGTTGCTATGATAACAGACCTTTCCTTGTGATGGTCCTGACGTCACATAATGGTTGACATAGTAGCACGTGATCTGTCACAGTGGTTACTATGATAACAGACATTTCCTTGTGATGGACCTGACGTCACATAATGGTTGACATAGTAGCACGTGATCTGTCACAGTGGTTGCTATGATAACAGACCTTTCCTTGTGATGGATCTGACATTATCTAATGGTTGACATGGTAACTGACCTGTTCTGGTGGATGACATGGTTGTGTTCTGAGAGTTCCAGGAATACTCCGCATAGAGTTCCTTGTAAGCTGGGTACCGCCCCATATCCTGGAGTAACAAAGATAACACATTGATAACACGGAATACAATGCTGACGTCAAGTAAATATATTCACATTGACAGACTATTTGTACAGTTTAACACCTACCCTTAGCGTGAGAATGAGATGAGTCTCACTCCTTAACACTTCAACAGCATTAGGATGAGATATACCGCTGAATGAGATTCCATTCACCTCCAGAATCTGATCACCAACTCTAACCCCGTGTCTCTCCGCAGTACTGCCTTTGTCCACCCTGTGTACACACAAAACATCTTATGAATCAACTGCTTAAAAATGTCCAAGGAAAAAGTGATAATTGATATTCATTTATTTCCATGAAAATTATCTTTGGCGTATTTGAAACTTCAAACATCTGTTCAATTTATTAATGTGTTGGTTTGTTAATTCGCAATAAGTTCAAGTTTAATACCGCGTATGACCGCCGTTTGCGCCAAATGCAGCATTGCAGCGTTGCCGCATTGACTAACAGAGATTTTGTCCCATTCATCGGTCAACACTTCTGTCAACTCCTGTAAATAAACAACTGATATTGACGTTTCCTTACGCGTCGTTCAAGAATATCCCAAACATGCTATATCATGATCACGATCCAGAGACATGTCAAGGTTGTTATAAACCTACTTTGAGATGTATATTCCAATACCGTACTCGATGCCTCCGCGGATGTTGAAGCCCAGCTCTTTATGTCGATCTGAGATAGACAGTGTTAGCCTTCTCTCCGGGAACTCAGCGTCCAGTCCCCTTATAAAGGCACTGCCTCCCCCATCCTCATACTCCCCCTCCATGAGGAGCCGGGTGTGGCTATTATACCTGTCGTAACAAACAGAAACTCACTATATATAGCCTCAATACCTTACGTCCTATACACCGCAAACAATCAATGACACAATTATTGCACTCTGACCATCCTTGTATCTAGTGATAATTAACCCTACATAAACAACCAATGTATGGTAATGAATGTGCAATCCTAGTTAATGTATATACATCGGTAATTTAGACCAAATAAATTCCATTAAGTTTCAGGTAAACCTTTACTAGATGACCTGTTTGAAGTCATACATGATTTTCCAATACGATTTACGTATATAAGTGAATGATCTAAAATGGTTGGGTATACAATGCAATCCGGAAAAAGAAACATGAATTTAACGAATTATGCGTTGTGGTCATATATACCAGGTCACTTTCTCTCTGGACAGTCTCCACTCAGGAAGCTGGCCAGTCCGTTCTACCACCAGCTTTAGTTTGTTACTGCCCGTTAGCACCTTGACCACTCCACTGCTGGTCACTTCTTCCACACTGATGTTGTTAACTTCCAGAAGTTTATCCCCAAGTTCTAGTCCAGCCAAATCTGTAAAATAACAACGTGATCAGTGAAAAGTCTACCCATGTCTGTACAATTACAAAATATTCAGTTCTAGTTAAATTATGTACAATGACCGAACGGACAAGAAAATAAATGAATGTGGACACTGGCATATGTTAGTAGTTTAATAAGCTCCTTTTCATGTCCATCTTTATCCTACAATACCGCATAGTCGGTTTCAGACTACTTAAATTCAATAGCTTTATCATTAGTTTAAATCATCAGTTCCATTCTACCTAAAGCTCAGTATAAGCCACATAGTAAGTCATTGCTATGTCGGAATTATACCCACCTGCCAGGCTTCCCTCCTCTATCTCACTGACATAAACCCCTAGTCCATGCTCAGCCCCACCCCTCACACTGAAGCCCAGATTCCCGTCCTGTGACACCTTCTGTATGGTAACCACCACAGCCTCGCCACGCGGCATCGAGTCAAACACGCGTTCTGCAAAAATAATATTACTTCTTTTTAATGTTTATGATTTTAACGTTCCTTAAATAGTAAATAGTGCAATGGTACGAAACAAAAATGGCGGAATATATCTACATAATGAAAAACGTAACATCTCCATTTCCATATGTCCCCCTGCATTTGCCCATTCAAATATTTGTTTGCTTGGGGTTTACCATCCGGGTAACAGCTAAGGCCATATAAAGAGTAGTGAGTGAAAATAAAATACTGATCCCAAGTACTGCGATGTGAGCTGCAGGTCTTCTGTCTTTAGTGTTCCCTAAAAAGAATACACAGAAAAAATTCTCTTCTGTCGCTTCTGGTCTAGGTGTCGTTCAAATGTCTACAAGCATGTCAAATGTCACATACGTCTACATGTTAACGGATTCACATGCCTCATCTCCTGTGCTACCTGTTACCTATATATTCTACCTCAAATATGGATCACAGTGTTTGAATTATTCCTGATTTATTCGTTCAATCACTCAGATATATAGCAATATTTTTAATATTTACTGGAGTATCCTCTAATCAAATGCTGTACAACAGTCCAACAGTTACATGTATTGTCCGTGTGGTAGGGAAACATAACTAATTGAGGAGTAACAGGATCCAAGATTCCCTGTCCGAAGAATTATCGTCAGGAACAAGATGTAAAGACGTATCCTTACAGAACAAACGCCTGGAAAATGACTGAAATTTCCACAGTCAAAACAGAAACATCCTTTTATAGGACAGTACATCACATGGTTTGGTCTAAAGTGGAGCTACGACACGGCGCCATCCCGAAAGTCCTTATCAACGTTTATCAAGACGATTAAAAATGGCAAACACAGTCTTGGCGGGGTTCCAATCAGTGTATGATTCTTAAATATTGAATAAATCTGCCGTCTTAGGGATGTCATTGCGTGGTAGTAAAGCACATGAATATATTGGATTAATTCTGTCAATTTATTTCTTCCTCGAGTTTTGTAAGTGAGGACCTGATCTAAAGTTGATTAAATCGTCTAGCAAACCTGCGAAAGGAACGGTAATATCGTGCTACAAGACAAATGGTAGATTGTTATACAAATCCTGTTGCCTAATACAAAAAAAAGTTCAATATTCAAAATATATAAGAAGTTTGTTTCCATATAACTGTCTTCAATCACTGATTACCTCCTGATATCACTCCGCCTCATCTTTTGTTTTAAAGACTTAGAGCTAAGTTCATACAATGACCCAGAATAGGATAAGGATTAAAAAAATATTTTCATTACCATGACCCGGAATGGGGGTTAAGAGCTCTTGGTACATCAATAATTTTAGATGGATATAGAAACTCATTCACTGAATGTTTTAGATTGCTTTGGTAAAATATCGGGACTAAAAGTAAATAATGATAAAACCAAGGTGATTTGGATTGGCAGCAAGAAATTCAGTGCAGACGTTTACCATCATAGATGGAAACTGAAATGGGGAGAAACAAAATTTAATATGCTAGGGGTTTATTTTTCAGTTAATCTAGATGAGGTTGTAACTTTGAATTATACCACAGTTCTTAAAAATGTTAATAAAAGTATAAACCAGTGGTCACGCAGAATTTTAACACCTCTTGGTCGGATAGTTGTATTAAAATCAATCATTATACCAAAATTTAATCATCTATTCATATCTGTTCCTACACCCGACAATAATTTTATTCAACAGTTGAACACTACTTTTTTCAATTTTATTTGGCAATCACCAGTCGACAAAATTAAAAGAGACACTATAGTCCAAAGCTATGAAAATGGGGGTCTGAAAATGATTAATATCAGGAATTTTATAACAAGCCTTAAGTCTACATGGATAAGAAGATTACTTAAGAATAATGATAAATGTTGGACAAATATTTTTGAAGCAGAACATTTTCCCACCATCAACATATCAGATTTTGGTACTGACTTCATTAAGAAAATTAAGACCAAAAATGCCTTTTGGAAAAATGTTTTTCAGGCATGGGTAGATATTTCAGAAAAAACACAATTGCAAATTAAAAATATTGAGCAGTTTCTTACTTTTCCTATATGGTATAACCCAATTTTCTGCATTGATAACAGGTCTTTTTTCATTAAAAAATGGTTTGAAAAGGGTGTTAAAAATGTGTGTGACCTACTGGACCAAGATAATTAATTTCTAACCTTTGCAAACTTTAAACTAAAATTCAATATCGAGTCAGAAAACTTTTTAATTTATCAAAGTATGTGCCAATCAATTAAGCAAAGTTATAGACAATTTAAATTTAATTTAACTGCTGAAAACATTGTTGAACGAACATTTATACCACACCATATCAATATAATTATGAAAAGCAAGAAAGGTTGTAAAGACATGTGTATTACCCTGAATAATTAAAAATAAATGTTCGAATACAGCTGAAATAAAATGGAAATCAAAAGAAAGTTTTAGAAACATGGACTGGAAACGATTGTATAGCATTCCTTTTAAAAGTACAACGGATACAACACTTCAGTGGTTCCAGTATCGGTTACAAAAGCGCATTCTCCCACTAAATAATTACTTGAAAACTATTGGTGTTTTGAACAATAACCTTTGTAATATGTGAAACACAGAAATTGAAACTATAGAACATATTTTTTGGGAATGTCCTCATTCTTTCAGGCTTTGGCAAGATTTGAAAAACAAAATATACCACAACTTTGATAAATTAATTGATTTTAGATTAGAAACAGTATTATTTGGAGAGACAGAAAATGTTGCCTTACCAATTAACTTTATTATCCTTTATGCAAAATATTATATATACACTGTATCAAGAAAAAAACAAAGACTCAGGTTAGATGGTTTGATTGAGTTTCTAGCATTCCGATATAACATCGAAAAAAAATCAGCATCAAAAAATGTACGTGTCCATGTCAATGTGAATGACCACATGCATGTGTCATAGAAATATTCATACACATGTGTATATATATATATGTACATCTGACACTGTTTGCACAGTGTATTTATTATTGTTTCTCAACTGCTTGAAATTATGCTTGCATAAGGATGCATCTGATTCAATGTATGTAAGTCTGTCGCAATGTATGCATGTATGTGTGTCTGTTTTGTCTGTCTGTCTGTCTGTCTGTCTCATGTATATATGTATGTGTGTATGAGTATATATGTGGGTGTATTTGTATGTGTATTATGTTTTTTTGTGTATACGTGCTATGTTTTTATGCTTGTTTGTAATATTATGTTGTATATGGTATTTGTTAGGGTGTGAAAGAAGTATGTTTTGTGTTCTTGTCCTGTACTCTATTTGCAAATATTTTATTTTCCCATTGCCCTTCCTATTTATTTATTTATAGTTTGACTGATGGATGTTGAATGAGAACCCTCCTGTGGGAGGACACCATAATATTGTTCAGGTGCTGACTCCAGGGCTCCCCAACCCTGGCATCCCCTATCAAAATATTTATATATGTATATATATATATCTGCTTCGAAGCAGTATATGTATATACATATTTATGAAAAAAATGGCTGGGGGAATAAAATATTTGTACTGAAAAAAAAAAAAAAAAAAAGCTCTTGGACCTTTTCTGACGCGTTTCTGTTCTAGGTTTAAAGACCACTCATGCAGCCTCGTTTTGCTCGCAAGCCTTGCCTATAGTCTACAGGCTACCAAAGTTTGTCCGAAATGGTAGAGTTCCATAGAACTAACGGTGCAGAAAAAGTGGTGACAAGCTTTGTTTCGAACAGTTTGTATGGGGCGATATGTATTGATTCCCTGCAACCCACCACCATAGAATAAAACTAGTTCGGCTAGAAATTCATATAGATTGTTACAAGCATCAAATGACATCCCTTTAGCATTTCGGAATTGACTAGCTGATTTTGATAGTTCTCCTCGAGATGTGTATGGAACGCCAAATACACTTTGTATAAATAATTGAAGATCGGCCAATTCAATTGAAGAAAGGTACAATTCAATTGATAAGCGTAATTCAATTGAAGAAAGGTACAATTCAATTGATAGTGTAATTCAATTGAAGAAAGGTACAATTCAATTGATTGTGAAATTCAATTGAAGAAAGGTACAATTCAATTGATAGTGTAATTCAATTGAAGAACGCTACAATTCAATTGATAGTTTAATTCAATTGAAGAGAGGTACAATTCAATTGAAGGTAGGTTCAATTCAATCGAATTACACTATCAATTTAATTGTACCTTTCTTCAAATGAATTACACTATCAGTTGAATTGTACCTTTCATCAATTGAATCACAATATCAATTGACTTGTCCCTTTCTTCAATTGATAGTGTAATTAAATTGAAGAAAGGTACCATTCAATTGATAGTGTAATGCAATTGAAGAAAGGTACGATTCAATTGATAGTGTAATTCAATTGAAGAAAGGTACAATTCAATCGATAGTGTAATTCAATTGAAGAAAGGTACAATTCAATTGATTGTGTAATTCAATTGAAGAAAGGTACAATTCAATTGATAGTGTAATTCAATTGAAGAAAGGTACAATTCAATTGATAGTGTAATTCAATTGAATTGAACCTACCTTCAATTGAATTGTACCTATTTTCAATTAGTTGAATATATGTACAATTAATTGAATATAATTATGTTAATTTGGTTAATTTCCATCCCAGTGTTTTTTTAACCATATATACTTATAGCAGTCTATTATATCTTTATCAATATCACCATATTTGGAACTAAAATTTGCCTTCGGGATCGATTTATTATGAATTAGTATAACTTTGGTTTTGTTCAGATTAACACACAACTGCCACCATTGCTGCTATAACCACGAAATCCGTACCAATCGGGAACCGTCGGCACTTTCCGTAAACAAGAAAGTTCGTAAAGTGTCGACGGTTCCCTATTGCATCCATCGAAGAGAGGCATCTGGGGCGAGTAAGACTCGACAGTATTGAGATACTGAGATCTCCATATGTTATACCTAACTCTAAAGTGAAATTTTAACAAGATTTTACACGTAGATCGAGAAAATGTGTCGGCGAGGCATATTACACCTGTTTCACCATCCCCGCCCCCTAACTTTGTTGCGGTGGCCGTATGGGTTCAACCAAAAAACTTAAAGTCGTTAAGATATCAATATATATTTCAAGTAAATGAGAAATGATAGAAAATATTGATTAGTGTATTGATGAGTTCCCACACTTCACACGTCGTCATGGCAACAGCTCTCGGGCAATTGCAACAGATTGCAACGGGGAACATCTCAAATTCAATTTTCGTTGTCCTATGTTTAGTTCAGATTGTTTACAGTGAAGTACACTTGTAGGCGGCTGTGACAACCGTAGCCTATCATAACAGAATTTACGTTTGTCCTTCAATCGTTAAAACCTCCAATCATCCTACAAGTATTACTAGTCGGTCCAACTTTCCAGCGGTTCACCAAATACGTCTTTTTATTCGAAAACACATATATATCCGCAGCCTTTATCTCAAGGTTTCTTTGAATTTGAGTCACTTACATTTATAAGTGTCCAGAATACAAAAGTTCTATTGTACACAGATACTAAAACACCCAGACTAATAGTATTTTAGCTGTTTTACAGACAAACTAATGATGTCCAGACTACCAAGGTTCCACTGTTCAGAAAAAAACATCCACGTTGAAATGGTTCTACTGTACACGCAAAAAACAGTGTCAATACAGTACACTACATTCAATGGGCACACACACCACAGTGTCAATACAGTACACTACATTCAATGGGCACACACACCACAGTGTCAATACAGTACACTACATGCAATGGGCACACACACCACAGTGTCAATACAGTACACTACATTCAATGGGTACACACACCACAGTATCAATACAGTACACTACATTCAATGGGCACACACACCACAGTGTTCAGAACAGCACGCAGACAAAAGTGTCCTGACTAACAAGGTTCTAGATACAAACTGGTGTGTTTGGTCTATCAAGGCTCTCCTGTACATTAAAAATGTCGAGACTGACAAGATTAGGCTGTATACTTTAGTTTATATATACAGTAGAACCTTGTACAAACCAAAGTATCCAGACCAACAAGGTTCTACTGTATATATAAACTAAAGTATACAGACCAACACGGTTCGGTTGTACATACAAACCAAAGTATCCAGACCAACAAGGTTCCACTGTACACATAAAACCAAATTGCCAGACTAGCAAGGTTCTACTATACACACAAACCCAAATTGTGCCAGAATAACTAGGTTCCAAAATACACACAAACTAAATTGTACAGACTAACAAAGATCTAATATATACACAAACCAAATTGTTCAGACTAACAGAGTTCTACTGTACACACAAACAAAATTGTACAGACTAACAAGATTCTACTGTACACACAAATCAAAGTGTCCCGACTAACAAGGTCCTACTGTACAAACAAACCGAATTATCCAGACTAACAAGATTCTACTGTACATACAAACCAAAGTGTCCAGACTAACAAGGTTCTACTGTACATACAAACCAGTGTCAAGATTAACAAGGTTCCGCTGTACACACAAATCATTAAGTGTCAAGACTGACAAGGTTCTCCTGTACATTCAAACCAAAGTGCCCAGACTAACAAGATTCTACTGTACATACAAACCAAATTGTCTAGACTAACAAGGTTCTCCTGTACATACAAACCAAACTGTCTAGACTAACAAGGTTCTCCTGTACATACAAACCAAAGTGTCCAGACTAACAAGATTCTACTGTACATACAAACCAAATTGTCTAGACTAACAAGGTTCTCCTGTACATACAAACCAAACTGTCCAGACTAACAAGGTTCTACAGTACAAACAAACCAGTGTCCAGATTAACAAGGTTCCATTGTACACACAAATCATTTTAAAAGTGTCCAGACTTACAAGTTTCTCCTGAACATACAAACCAAACTGTCTAGACTAACAAGGTTCCACTGTACATACAAACAAAGTGCCCAGACTAACAAGATTCTACAGTACATACAAACCAAACTGTCTAGACTAACAAAGTTCTACTGTACATACAAACCAAATTGTCCAAACTAACAAGGTACTACTGTACAACAAACCAAATTGTCCAAACTAACAAGGTCCTACTGTACAACAAACCAAATGTCCATACTAACAATGTTCTACTGTACATCACATACCAAATTGTGCCAGACTAACAATGTTCTACTGTACAAACAAACTAAATTTGTGCAGACTAAGAAAGTGTCAAAGTGTCTCGACAAACAAGATTTCTGACTTCTGTACAGTCCATACTAACAACGTTTACATCTTTCTACATGAAAAAAACTAACGCTAACGTTAAGACTTCCATAGCTGACAAAAATGTTACAAACTGTAAAGAAAGACATTCGTTATATACATATTACTAGATCCGTGAATACTTACCATGAGGGTTAGGTCGGATGAAGATCTCGGGAGAATGGTGGCCGTTTTGTCTTCGGCGTTGAGTCGTTGGACTCAGTGCTTGTCTGGAAGACTGTCGGAAATATCCATCAAACTCCTTCACGTGAGCACGAGGAATTAAATCCCGGATGTGTCGCAATAGATCCAGCTTTTCTGGAGAGTGAAGTAATTCCCTAAGCTCAAACACCAATTTATCAACCTGGCGATATCTCTGGAACTCTTTTAACGCGTGGAAAAGAGTTCTCCGTTCCGACTCGGATAGAAGTCGCCTGGCCTCAAAATGGAATGTTCGGATCAACTGTTTTTTTCTCTGGCTCAACCCTGGCATTTTTACACCTGGGCTTAATGGTCAGGTCTTGCAATGTTTAAGACCTCCTGGTTTGCACGGCTTATCCACGATACTTATTATTATCTAGCGTCTGTACTCTGTACAATCACCATAGCTGTAATTTTTAACCTGTTTTGGTAACTCGTCCATGTGTGTGTAGGTGTATCATGCCTTCCAATAACTGTTAAATAATACAAACATTAAAATGAAACACAGGCCTGAAAAAGGCAAAGGAGAAAATCAGATATCGATGTTACACATAATAAATGAGTCAGGCAATCAAAAATGAATGAAGTGGCCTACTCGCCGGCAAGGTAAGGCCAGTAAGGCCATGCAGGTACAGCTTAGGTTAGGCCAGGGAGAATACGAACACTGTCTCTATGGCACTAACATCAACAAAAATATTGAAAATAACGGGGTTTTTTTCTTCTTTATTTCTATTTGGACATCACAGGGAAACTGAATTAAGTTGAAAGTGTTAAAACATTGTATATTGGTAAAATAAAATCACTCTCCTATGGTGTAAATTACAAGTGAACCTTTATCAAAATGCAGTTTAAATCATATTGGCAAGGAATTGAACTTAGTGTCGACAATGTTGCAAATATTTGCAGCTACCAGTAAAATTGTACCTTATTCTTTCAAACGATATACAATGTACCAATAAGCAAATGAATATCTTTTATTACGTCAAATATTAATTATATCCTTCACGTGCTCAGGTGATGTAAACAACACGGTGTAGCTATATATTTAGCTGTGTCCATATCTTGATGCCAAAGTTGTACGCGCTTTTCGTTAGGATTCGGACACTTTCAGACGGGCCTAGTTATCAGTGAGAGTGCGTTTCATGTATCCAGGTACTTGAGTAGTTTAGTTAAAAACATACAAACGAGAAAATGAGAATAAAAAAACACATACATTTTGAAAATATGAAGAAAATGTACATGAAAATAAGAGGATTCAACAACGCTTCCCTGTAATATTTCCAACAGAGAAATAGGGGGTTGGGTTGATTCAGGCAGATAAATGTCAGGAAGGGAGATAATTCTGAATTATGTCAGGAAGGGAGATAATTCTGGCTTCCGAGAAACACTTTTGATAACTCATTTACACATGGTCACTCATTTTATAGAATAATTAAAACGAGACTTTTGATTAAAAAAAATCAATTTTCACTCCTACTCCCTTTGTTTTCAATCAATTTTAACCACAACTATTTAGAGTCACACAGTTTTGAAGTCCTCAAAACGCCAGGGCCTTTATTCATGAAACCGTTCTCATGCTCAAGTATGGGTTCTGTGCTCCATCCAACTTTCTTGAAATTCACTTAAATCATGTCAAATGATCAAAAATTCAAATGTGAATAATGAAAGCAATGTTCGGCTTTTAAGTCTCCATGTTTTTTTCAAAATCATTAACAAAATAATAGTTTATTATTAATCAATAACCGGAACAAGAAATTAGCCTTGAGCAAAAAATCCATGCTTGACCATAAGAACGGTTTCATGAATATGGGCCCAGGTTTCCTAGGGGTTCAGACAAATATTTTTTATACAAAATTACCCTGTACACAACAAAAGCTAGCTGAAGTACAATACTTACATGTGTACCCATCAGTAAACTCCAACACGATAAGTCCCGTAGCACGTTAATGTCGTAGAATTATAAGTAAGGGCGTAAACATCTACAGCTGTGACGTATTACAAACACGGGACATGGTCGGTCAATGTTTTCTAGACCCGGCCCTCTGATACCTTTATTCCCTCCATGCATCACAAGTCTTGTCTCTGCCACAGATCATACACAACACTCTACCTGTGATGAATAATTGATTTTGAGGCATCTGTTACAACTATCGACCACATTCTTGCGGAACATGTGTTGTATCCATGCCTATTTCTGTTTACAATTTTACCTGGTTCTGGTAATACAAGTAATCCCTGGGTGGGGCTGCTATTCCTGTTCATGGTAACCCCCGGGGATGCGGGGATGGTGGGTTGGGGACCGAGTAATTTTCCGGGAGGAGTTGCCGTTCCACACAGACAAGTACTGGAGGAATTTGAACCGTTAAAGAATGGGCGGGGCGTTTCAAGTAACAGTATATTATCATGGGGAGCAAGGGGGTACGGTCAAGAAATCCGTTACACCTAAATATAACAATATTGTCCGGGGAAGGGCGACCGTTCCAGATACCAAGGTTAATACCCAGGGGAAGGGACCATTCCAGATATTGCAAATAACACTCGGGAAGGGTACCGGTAGCATGGTAGGCACTTCAAGTAATACAAGTAATGTCCGGGGTTGGAGGGGCCGTTCTAGGTAACGAAAGTAGCATACGGGGGAGGGGGACGTTCCAGAAAACACCGATAATACAAGGGGGGGGGGGGGGGGGTATACGTATTCCCTTTAGAGGTCAGTTATGAGTTCAAAACGAACCCAAGCGTGACCCGATCACTTCACCACCTTGCCTACCGTCTTAAGTGGTGTTTTTGGATTGGTTGGGATAAAGGTAGAGATGGGCAATAACATTGCTATACCAATATATTGCAAATTAATATTTGCCGAACAGGATATGCTACAATATGGAAATTGCAATGACAACATATAACTTTATATTTTGGAGATTTTAAGCACTGTTTAAATGGTAATTATTTTCATTAGGCATAATGCCTATATGTATTCAGATCAGTATGATGTGGCATGTTTTACATGTTGTGTATACATGTTCTTATTTTACGTTGTTTTTGGAAGAAACGACGTGACATGTTTTGTATACATGATTTTATTTTACGTCGTTTTTATAATAAACGGACTATTTCATGCTGTGGTATACTGGTTTTTATTTGACTATTGAACTTTTAATAAAAGCTTGCTGTATGACTGGGTACTGAACCGCACATCATAAATGGTAATTGTGTATTTTCTTTCTGTTGTGTGCTGTCGTTTTGCGAGCTTATTTTAAATGGTAAGAAGCTCAATTGGTTGGTTTCTTGTCACGGAACAGCAATTGTAAATATATGATACCACTATCCTGTATGTCTTGCATTCTGTTATTGATGAAACTTATCATGATGTACCCATAAAGATAATCATAGATACAGCATGCCAAGAATAAATACACTGCATCTTTTATTACGGCTGTTTCGTCTTTCTGAGACTCATCGCTGATGTCAGGGGCCAAAACATTGGACATCTAAGTTGGTCTAAACTCCTGTTGAAACAGATGGGTAGGTACATACCAACCGTTAATATTATGAATTGAAAAGTCACTGGTGAATTTCAAACTACGTAATGACTAATGAGTGAGGTGTGTATATTGTGAGCCGTGCTACTACTCAAAAGAGATTACTGTGGGTATCAAGGTCATGGCTAAACTTGGGGACTGAGAAATCCACCAACTGATTGTAACACCTTGTATCTTGAAAGATGATCGTAACACTTGTAAGTTGAATTCATATAGATCCCACTACAATCTCCATGGTCCATTAACGATACATTGACCTCTGGCCTCTGCTAATATGGTATTCCAGTAACAGTATATTGACCTCTGGTCTCTGCTAATATGATATTCCAGTAACAGTACATTGACCTCTGGCCTCTGCTAATATGGTATTCCAGTAACAGTACATTGACCTCTGGCCTCTGCTAATATGGTATTCCAGTAACAGTACATTGACCTCTGGCCTCTGCTAATATGATATTCCAGTAACAGTACATTGACCTCTGGCCTCTGCTAATATGATATTCCAGTAACAGTACATTGACCTCTGGCCTCTGCTAATATGATATTCCAGTAACAGTACATTGACCTCTGGCCTCTGCTAATATGATATTCCAGTAACAGTACATTGACCTCTGGCCTCTGCTAATATGATATTCCAGTAACAGTACATTGACCTCTGGCCTCTGCTAATATGGTATTCCAGTAACAGTACATTGACCTCTGGCCTCTGCTAATATGATATTCCAGTAACAGTACATTGACCTCTGGCCTCTGCTAATATGATATTCCAGTAACAGTACATTGACCTCTGGCCTCTGCTAATATGATATTCCAGTAACAGTACATTGACCTCTGGCCTCTGCTAATATGATATTCCAGTAACAGTACATTGACCTCTGGCCTCTGCTAATATGATATTCCAGTAACAGTACATTGACCTCTGGCCTCTGCTAATATGATATTCCAGTAACAGTACATTGACCTCTGGCCTCTGCTAATATGATATTCCAGTAACAGTACATTGACCTCTGGCCTCTGCTAATATGATATTCCAGTAACAGTACATTGACCTCTGGCCTCTGCTAATATGATATTCCAGTAACAGTACATTGACCTCTGGCCTCTGCTAATATGATATTCCAGTAACAGTACATTGACCTCTGGCCTCTGCTAATATGATATTCCAGTAACAGTACATTGACCTCTGGCCTCTGCTAATATGATATTCCAGTAACAGTACATTGACCTCTGGCCTCTGCTAATATGATATTCCAGTAACAGTACATTGACCTCTGGCCTCTGCTAATATGATATTCCAGTAACAGTACATTGACCTCTGGCCTCTGCTAATATGATATTCCAGTAACAGTACATTGACCTCTGGCCTCTGCTAATATGATATTCCAGTAACAGTACATTGACCTCTGGCCTCTGCTAATATGATATTCCAGTAACAGTACATTGACCTCTGGCCTCTGCTAATATGATATTCCAGTAACAGTACATTGACCTCTGGCCTCTGCTAATATGATATTCCAGTAACAGTACATTGACCTCTGGCCTCTGCTAATATGATATTCCAGTAACAGTACATTGACCTCTGGCCTCTGCTAATATGATATTCCAGTAACAGTACATTGACCTCTGGCCTCTGCTAATATGATATTCCAGTAACAGTACATTGACCTCTGGCCTCTGCTAATATGATATTCCAGTAACAGTACATTGACCTCTGGCCTCTGCTAATATGATATTCCAGTAACAGTACATTGACCTCTGGCCTCTGCTAATATGATATTCCAGTAACAGTACATTGACCTCTGGCCTCTGCTAATATGATATTCCAGTAACAGTACATTGACCTCTGGCCTCTGCTAATATGATATTCCAGTAACAGTACATTGACCTCTGGCCTCTGCTAATATGATATTCCAGTAACAGTACATTGACCTCTGGCCTCTGCTAATATGATATTCCAGTAACAGTACATTGACCTCTGGCCTCTGCTAATATGGTATTCCAGTAACAGTACGTTGACCTCTGGCCTCTGCTAATATGGTAAACCAGTAACAGTACGTTGACCTCTGGCCTCTGCTAATATGGTATTCAGTAACAGTACATTGGCCTCTGGCCTCTGCTAATATGATATTCCAGTAACAGTACGTTGACCTCTGGCCTCTGCTAATATGGTATTCAGTAACAGTACATTGGCCTCTGGCCGCTGCTAATATGATATTCCAGTAACAGTACATTGTCCTCTGGCCTCTGCTAATATGATATTCCAGTAACAGTACACTGTCCTCTGGCCTCTGCTAATATGGTATTCCAATAACAGTACACTGACCTCTGGCCTCTGCTAATATAGTATTCCAGTAACAGTACATTGACCTCTGGCCTCTGCTAATATGGTATTCCAGTAACAGTACATTGAACTCTGACCTCTGAACCAGGTGAATACATATTCCAAAGAAGTGGTATGTAAATAAATATTGATTAAATTCTAAATTATACACATTTGAGTGTGTATGTAAACATACCGGTACAGCATGTTACGACATAGTACGTAATTAGCTATAGGAAGTATGTATATCTGCAGATGAGCCACGCGGGATGTCAATTGATCAGTAGGATTGGATTTCGTGACATTGATTTTCACTATGGATTCCCATTTTTTTATCCATCCCTTGTTATATATAAATTTTAATGAATCATTAATATATACTATGCGATGTGGCCTCAGTAAAACAAGAATTAACACGAACCACTGTGGTTCGCGTCAGTGTTATTTTGAGATTTTTTTCCAATAAATAGTATTTAGGGATTTTAAAAAGTGTGTGAAGGGATGGGGAACTCAAAACAATAATTTCGATAGCAAACCATGAGAATGATACAATTTCGGATTTAGTTAAATGATTTTGGCGAAACTGAGATTTTCAAGTTCACTGTTAAGTGTTAACGCATCCCAATATGATATCCGAAACTGTAATTTCACTTGAAAATACCAAGTAATAAAATTTGGCTGAATCAGTGAATACAAAATCTGTTTATGTAAACAAACTGTGTGCAGTAGTGTCTTTCTCTGGTACTAGAGGACAGTTTAGTCAGACAGGTTAGGGATTCTGGGGTTTACAGTTTGATGCTAGACGAGTCGACAGATATTTCTGTTCACCAGAATATGATAGCATATATTAGGTTTGTGGAGTCAGTCTGTGGCAGGTAAGAGCCAGCAAGTGGGTTTATTGGTATACGTCAGTTGTCAGTTGCAGATGCAGGGTCTATTACCAATCAGTTGATAGATTTGTTGGAGTCTAATGGTATTGAGGTTGAAGGGCTAGTTGGTGTTGCTACTGTCAGATGGGGAGTCAGTCATGACAGGGTGTAGGTCAGGCGTAGCTACTATAGACTTAGGGAGGTTAGGCCAGGTCTGCTTGTTACACATTGTATCGCACATAGGCTGGCATTAGGTTGTGGCAGAGTAGCAGATAAGATTAGGTACATTTTGAAGTTTCAGGACTTGCTCATTCACCGAATAACATGGCTAGACTAGAAAAGAATCGGACAGTATTAGAAAGTAGCTAGAAAAGGGAGTAGTTTGAAACAGGTATTCCATACTAGGTGGCTTATATATAGTTTAGATGGCAGTGTTCAGGCAGTTGTTGAGAACTATCCTAGCACCATTAGTATGTTTCTGGAGGACCAAAGTGCTAAAGCTCTGTCTTTGCACAAGCCCATCACCTGCTACACGTTTTTGTATGTTGTGCATTTCCTGTCTGAAAGTGATGTTCTTCCAGGGTTGGTTAGATTGTGCAAGATATTTCAAAAGTCACAGATGGATTTTACAGAGGTGAACCCCCTCCTCGAGTCAACAGTTCATGTCATATAGAAGTTGTCAGACAGCAGATCAGGTGAGAACACATAGGCAAGTTCCTTAGTAAGGTTCCGGAGTCACCTCAGGTAGACGGTTCAGGGTTAGTTACTTTTGAGTTTGGAGGTCACACATTCAGAGATCGTGCACGTGTCAGTCAGAGGTCATAGATAGAGGCAGCTTGTAGGCAGTTTGTAGGCTTCTTATTTGAGGGACTTAGAAATAGATTCACAGACAAGGGGATGCTATTGTTTTGTCAGCCCTGACCAGGCTATTTGATCCCTCTCTAGTTGATCGTCACAGTGGGGTGCTATGGGACTCAGTTCACATAGTACTTGGGTCCAGCTGTTAGACAAGATCGAGTTCCATAGTTTTCTGGAGTTGGCTAAGTTTCAGGTGTTACGAAATAGGAAGGTGTTATGTAAGGTTCAAGATGTAGCGCAGCTGGAATTTAGAAATATGGATAGTTTTCCAGTTGTAGCAAAGGCTGCCGAGTGACTCCTAGTTGTTCCAGTATCAACAGTGGACTGCGAACGAGGCTTCAGTCGTCAGAACCTCATCAAGACTGACCTCAGGAACAGCCTCAGAAGCCAGAGTCTGGAAAACCTCATGAGGGTATCAGTCGACCACAAAACCTCCAACAGCAGCACTTATATCGACTACGATGCAGCATCCAACCCACTCGAGTGCCAGCATGGGGAGGAGGAGGAGGAGGTGGAGGAGGATATACATACTCTTCCCTTCGAAAGGACAGTAACAGCGTTAAAATAATAATAAATCAGATTCTTATATACCACTTTATCACAACCTATGTCGTCTATGGCATTTAGAAATATGGATAGTTTTCCAGTTGTAGCAAAGGCTGCCGAGTGACTCCTAGTTGTTCCAGTATGAACAGTGGACTGCGAACGAGGCTCCAGTCGTCAGAACCTCATCAAGACTGACCTCAGGAACAGCCTCAGAAGCCAGAGTCTGGAAAACCTCATGAGGGTATCAGTCGACCACAAAACCTCCAACAGCAGCATTTATATCGACTACGATGCAGCATCCAACCCACTCGAGTGCCAGCATGGGGAGGAGGAGGAGGAGGAGGAGGAGGAGGAGGAGGATACTCCCACCGAAAGGACAGCAACAGCGTTAAAATAATAATAACCACAACCTAGGTCATCTCAAAGCGGGGAACCTAATGTACCTCCGATTACAGGGAATTCTTTCTACAAAGCTGTCTAGACAAAATATTAAACAGAAGATCCAATGTCTATATGGTAATATTGGAAGAAGAAAAAGTAGCAGAACTACTGATACACCTTTGTCCTCACAACATACTGACTTAATAGTAAATAGGACAACTAAATACTTAAATGAGTATGTGTGGAGGAAAGTGTTACTATTTAAAATAATATTGCTTAATATGGCAAAGGGAAAAACACGTTTGATGTAATCACTGACATGAACAATAAAAACCCTTTCCTCCCTGAAGTTTAAACATTTCCCCGCACAATATTTTAATACTTTTTGTGGAGTTAAGCAAGGTGACAGTTTTAACCCACTCTTTTTAACGTTTACACAAATAAACTTCCAAATACATTAACCATTAACATAGTTAAGCTATATAGGTGATATGAATTTTGGAAATCTTCTCTTCGTAGATGATTTGTTGATTTTGTCAGAATCTCCAGCGGGTTTGCAAAGGTCTTTGGATGATCTAGAATACTATGGTCAAAATGGCCATTATCGATGTATGCCAACGACACGAAAACAGTGATGTTTCAGTCAAGAAACCGCGTACGTCTCCTCAAAGGTAAACAATTTTATTTGAAAATGAGGCGATTAAACAATAATTAAACGACTGAATATAGTTAGGCACAGCACTTTGCAATAATGGTTTTACACTAGCGATAGAATAACTTGCTGCAAAGAGTAAAAAAGTTTTTATTTGCCATTAAACAATACCTTGTATTTATATTCCGGATATGTCAACTTAGTTGAGGGGGGAGATGTCGAATTCCTTATGCTAAAATTTAGAAATATGTTATGCTGATTATTATGAGAAAGTTGAGACAATTTTGTAAAATGGTTCTTAGAGTTTCAAAATATACGGTAAATATAGCACCAAGGGCAGAACTAGGACAATATCCAATGGGTTGTTTTATAAATAGGATACACATGAAGCCTTGCACAATTTACACAGAATATATCTCAAAACGATACAAATGACGCTGCAAAACAACCTCTACAATTTCAATGCATCGGATAATGGTCTAAAAATCAAAACAGCATATACATAATATACAATTAGTTTTAAGCCTGACTTGCAGCTCTTACATTAGGAATTAGTTTTTCGAAATATTTTTTTAAATAATCATTAAGTGACCTGCAAAACTTATCATTTAAATGAACCAAAAAAATTGGGCGGTCCGGATCCTATGCCGGGGTCTTTTCATTAAAAATTCGTTTGAACTGAAGATGGACTTACAAAGTGCTAATGCATTATCATTATCTAGTTTTGTTGTTGTTTTGTTTTTGTTTATTTGCAGTCCTTGTTTTCATGGAAAGAAAGCAATTTCGGGAATTGTTGTGACTCGGGTATTTTGATCAGGGTGTGCCTTCATCAGTGATCCCATATATTTATTTATTTATTTTTATTTATATATTTGTTTATTTTTATTTATTTATTTATTTATTTTAATAGTATTCCGGATAGTTATCGCCGTCGACTGCCTTGCTGTTTAGTTTATTCACAGCTTTTTTGGTGACGTTTTAGCCGTATTTTGATGACGTATTTCACATTCTTGTCGGTTCCGGACTGTGATGAAAGCTGATACAGTTGTCTTTTTACAATCAGTAGGATCCTCGGAAACTAGGTACGCATGATAAGTATCGTTGTACCTGTCACTCTTAATGGATCGTTTAAATCAAACCACACATAGATTTCATGACATATACTTACTGAGCAATATGAGTTCGTGAGTTGTTCGTCATGTTCGTATAATCTAACTTTGCTGAAGCTCATCGACTGTGCAGTAGGCCTAGCGCAGTCTGCATCATCTATTCTTCTTCTTCTTCTTCTTCCCGTTATGGAGTTGGCTCATCAGATGAGTGTATTCGTCACTGTCATTGGGCTGTCAGCTCCGTGATGATCAGTAGATTTAACTTAACACTATTGTAAAGTAGATTACTCGATCCGGAAATTCAAAATTTGCGATTTAACGCTGTGGACTAGACAGCTTTTTAGCTTGATCCGACCACAGGTACTAGCCTCGTCTGTCAATACACCTATGATATAATCATGGGTGCACGTGTAATCCGACCAGTATTCACGAGCGTTGTGTGACCAGTTTCAGTGCCCTTAAGGTAGAATTTGCCGAATAAATAGATCAAAGTGAAATGATAAAAACCCCATTATCCACATTGTTTACTAACCATGTAAAGCATTTATTTTTACATTGACAGTAAGTTAGTTATCGCTCCCTTTATTCTATAATGACAATAGCCCAAGTTTCCCCTGGCCCTGACACCAGACTTAGACATTTTGACAGATAGCTATAGACGTTTGGTGTGGGGGCCGGGCCTCACAACAAACATCTATCTAAATATAAGTCTGGTGTCAGGGCCAGAGGAAACTCTTGCTGCAATGACAAGCTATAGATAAATGATTGAACGATTCGTCACATGTATATGCCCAGTTTTGAGAGCTGACTATTTATATATAATATAGGTAAGTTGTGTGATATTGCTACTTTTCAGTTAGCCTGAGTTTTCTCTGGCCCTTACGTATACACCAGACTTCGACATTTTGACATATAGATGTCTGGTGTGGGGCCAGATCTAGAGCGCACTGCTATAGGAAAACGTGGAATTCTCCGACACCATTTTCGGGCTATCTACTGTTTAGTATTTGTGGAAAAATATCAGTGATATGTTTACCAGATAATTTGCTTATATCATCTTCAAAAAATGTGTTCTTGTTATATATGAGTACATTTTTAAATGACTATAAATTAATTTGCAATGTGGTACCCATATAAAGGATGTTCTTTATAATCAGTCACATATTACTAGCTTTGTTTAGAGATAATTTCCATGTAACACAGCAGTAGAACTATAAAGTCTGTGGTCATGGGTTTGATTCTCAAAAAATCACAATAACAGGAATATTTGCTGTTTGATACATCTTAAAATTTTATTTTCAGGTTCATTGTAAGTTGAGGCTGGATTCCTTCTTGCACCGGTGTTTGAGTTCAGAAGAGGAACAATTTATTGATTTTGTCCATAAGGACATAGAACACTTTCTTAAATGTTACACCAAAAAGAGGTAATGATACTGTAGTTATTGTACTGTATTTACCAAGTTATCCTGGTTGCCTCTAATGATTGGCAATGATTGCTTAATCAATCTAAGCAGTCATTTCATCCAGTGCATTTTCTCATTAACCCACTCTATTGAGACTAGTTCTTGGAATCCTTTAGATTTACTGTAACCTTAAGCTTGCTCATAGTCATATATGTCATACTGGTTAGTTTGATCATGTTCAGGAACCCTCATTTTGCATTAAACATTTTCTCAGAGAATATTTCAACATAGCCATTTTTTTGTTTTTTTGTCAGTTAAATTGTATGATCCGTTTGATTGGGTTTATCTGTGACTTATGTCTGGTGCATTCATGACAGTTGTATTTTGCCTCTGAAACCTTGCAGTGTGCTGTTGTTTCCACCACTTAGCAGTTTCCACCGACTGCTGATCCACAAGGCCGCCGAGGAATACAAGCAATTGCACACCTTCTCAGTAGGTCAAGGACAGTCCAGACGTACCACTGTCTGTCTTCAGGAAGATCTTAACAAGTTAGTTTAGGGTACAGCGTAGACCAAATATTTACCGAGAGTAGATCATTTATTTACCAGGGTAATTCTGAAATAGATTATATATATCCTATAGTAGATAGCTATTTTCCTGTTAACTATAAATATATATTTGCAAGGATTACAATTGCAATTTGATAAATTATTTCCATTAACTTCTAGGTATCATTTATGTTTACTGGGAGTAGGTTTGTATATAAGGAAGTTTGTCTGTCAGCTGTGATCAGTATTTCATGAAACTCAAATGATGTAATAGAAATATAATTATAACCACACTCTAAAATTGTACATTTGTATATTGAAGTTATGTCCCTTTTACAAAATCATAAGTCAATTTCTTGTTCATGTAACTCATCTAAAATTTCATGAAAGTCCACAGATAAAGTTTCTCTGAAATTGTGAACCTGCTCTTACTTTAAATCCTGTTGTTTTTATAGGAGTTACATGCCCCTTTTTAAATCGTTTGACAAATCTTGTTCATTGTGATTAACATATATACATTATGTCCAGAATAATGCTGATAAAACAATTGAACAGACTTCTATGATTTGATACAATTTGTTATCATGTTGTGTAACTATACATTGCAGTTGACTTTATTTTGGTTGGTAGTTTTAATGAAGAGAGAAGGGGTCGGGTAGTAAGCTGTGGCTTACAGGTTACATGTAGATAGAATATTTCCTCTTAGATAAAAGTAGAAAAGAATATTTCCCATTTAATAAAAGTAGGCCATGTATTAAAATGTCTCATGATGGTTAATATTTATGTATGTCCCTGTTCTTTCAGTTACTCCCAGAAAGGAGAAGGATTGATGTCATTGAATCGGCCCCCTTCGGCTAGAGGAAGGGGGCGGGGGCGATGGTCAAGTCCTGGGTCCGAGTTTGATAACAAACTTCAGAATAGACCCAGAGATGGCCATGGGAGGGAGGATAGATACAAAGATGGCCCAAGGACGGAGGACAGACACAATGATCACCTGCGGACTGAGGACAGACACAGAGATGGCCTTAGGACAGATGACAGACATGAACAGAAATCCCCTAGAGGGGTCGATGTATCACCAATTTCACATGTCCCGTCATCAAAAGGACGTGGACCAAAAACAAGGTGTTATACATTTGTTATTATGAATTCCAATTTTCAGCTGATGTTAAATAAATCAAGTACAGGAAAGGGTTATTTAATCAAGAATTAATTTTCTACAGTACACTTGAAGAACAGATTCTCTTACTGAGTGAGTCATAGAAGGTTGGGTTAGAGATCTAGATGGGTTGGTGCTGGGTTAATATTAACAGGCTTTTAGCTCGCTTGGCACAACGTGCCTGTAAACTTGTGGTTTGGGGCAGTATCCATCATCAATCCATCAACAATCCATCAACTGTTTCCTTTGAACAGCTTCAACCCTATTTCCTGATATTTGGCCAGTATGTACTTGTGATAGAATGCTCTAAAGTTTCATCCTATAAATGACCTTGGCCTACTGTCGCAGTCACAAAGGTCAAATAAATGAGTGGGGAAGGGGCTTATTTGCGGTCAAATACGGTAAAAAATAAATAAAAAAGCAACATTTTCTAAAGAACCATAAGTTTCAGAGCCTTGGTACTTGAGTAAGATTTTTATGTAGTCAGGCTGAGCAAATCTTTTTCTAATATTTTGTATGTAAGACAAAGTTGACATTTGTGGGCTGGCTAGGGTCATATTCTGACATGGGTAGTTGTGGCAAAAAGTTTTAAATCTTCTTAAGTTTGATTGATAAAGCCCAGTGTCCTGATATCTAGTAGATATCTTTGATGGAATACAATAAATTCCTTCTATAAATTGCCTTGACTACCTCTTAAGGTCAAATGGATTTAATATTTATGTTTAAGAATTTAAGCTACATAATCTTCAGAATCATAAAGTTAAGGGTCATGATGCTTGGATATGTTATGCAGAGCATGCAGTACATGTAGTGTGAATATTTTTCTTGGTTTACAGAAACAATAAGATAAGCAATGTATTACTGATTACTGCAAATTATATCAGATCTGTATATACTGGAGTGTCACTGTGTTACATTTTCTCATTCCTGTCCTGAAATTTTTTCTTTTGCCAGAACAAGAAACAAAAGGCCAGACGCTCAGATCTATGTACCTAGGGGTCGAAGACAACAGCAAGTGCCTGTCAATCAACACGATGACACAGGAGATAAGCAACCCCATAACAGTGATATGGACAGTAGGACAGGGATTAAAGGTCATGGAGAGGGGGACATGAACCTTCGTAACAGCGATGTGGACAGTCAGACAGGGACTATAGGTCATGTGACAGCGGACATGAACCTTCGTGACAGCAATATGGACAGTAGGACAGGGACTAGAGGTCATGTGACAGCGGACATGGACCTTCGTTACAGCGATGTGGACAGTAGGACAGGGACTATAGGTCATGTGACAGCGGACATGGACCTTCGTAACAGCGATGTGGACAGTAGGACAGGGAATATAGGTCATGTGACAGCGGACATGGACCTTCGTGACAGCAATATGGACAGTAGGACAGGGAATATAGGTCAAGGTCATGGAGAGGGGGACATGGACCTTCGTTACAGCGATGTGGACAATAGGACAGAGAATATAGGTCATGGGACAGGGGACATGAACCTTTGTGACAGAGATTTTGACAATAGGACAGCGAGTATGGATCATAGGCCAAGGGACAGAAATCTTCTTAACAGAGACACAAACAAAAGGATAGGGGTTATAGATGGTGGGGCAACCAACAGGGACCCTCATAAGAGAGATGATCATCCACCATCTACAAATCTACCAACAACCAAACAGGCATCTAGGAAATCTAGACCTCAGAACCAAGTGTATGTACCACCGCATCACAGGAATCTATTGCAAGAAACCTCTGGTTCGTCACATCAAGAGACCTCTGGTCCGTCACATCAAGAGACCTCTGGTCCGTCACATCAAGAGACCTCCGGTCCATCACATCAAGAGACCACTTGTCCGTCACATCAAGAGACCTTTGGTCCGTCACATCAAGAGACCGCTGGTCCGTCACATCAAGTTACCTCTGCTCCGTCACATCAAGAGACCTCTGGTCCGTCCCATCAAGAGACCTCCGGTCCATTACATCAAGAGACCACTGGTCCATCACATCAAGAGACCACTGGTCCATGACATCAAGAGACCTCTGGTCCATCACATCAAGAGACCTCTGGTCCGTCACATCAAGAAACCTCTGGTCCGTCACATCAAGAGACCTCTGGTCCATCACATCAAGAGACCTCTGGTCCGTCACATCAAGAGACCTCTGGTCCGTCACATCAAGTTACCTCTGGTCCGTCACATCAAGAGACCTCCGGTCCATCACATCAAGAGACCACTGGTCCATCACATCAAGAGACCTCTGGTCCGTCACATCAAGAGACCTTTGGTCCGTCACATCAAGAGACCTCTAGTCCATCACATCAAGAGACCTCTCTTCCATCACATCAAGATACCTCTGGTCCATCACATCAAGAGACCACTGGTCCATCACATCAAAAGACCACTGGTCCATCACATCAAGAGACCACTGGTCCATCACATCAAGAGACCTCTGGTCCGTCACATCAAGATACCTCTGGTCCATCACATCAAGATAACTGTGATCCAAGGACACACTGTAGAATTCAGGACATGGAGGCTGTTTCTGAGTTCAAAAGTGCAGAGTTTGATAAAAGTAAAATTAGTGGTGACCCACATTATAGGACAAAAATCAAACGAGTAAAATTGAGCAACTCCCTCAGTAAGTTAAAAAGTGGAGATGACACGGAGAGAGAACAGAAAAGTGCTAATACCTCATCAGATATTCATATTGAACAGTGGAGTTTATCAAGTGATCCTAGCCCTAGTCTACCTGGAATACAAGATCTGTCCCCTAGTGAATCAGATATACATATGCCTGGCCCTAGTGAATCAGATATACATGATCTGGCCCGAAGTGAATCAGATATACATATGCCAGACCCTAGTGAATCAGATGTACATATACCAGGCCCTAATGAATCAGATATACATATGCCTGGCCCTTGTGAATCACATGTACATTTGCCAGTCCCTAATGAATCAGATATACAGGATCCTGGCCCTAATGAATCGGATATACATGATCTGGTCCCAAATAAATCAGAAATACATAAGCCTGGCCCTAGTGAATCAAATATACCTATGCCAGGCTCTGGTGATTCAGATACACAAGTTCCAGCCAAATTGGACATTCTATCTTGTGATGATCACTCTGGTTTCGTCAGTGGACATGGTGATCAAAGATATTCCCATGGTGCTAAGGTTGACCCTGGTGACTGTACTAGTTGTGACAAAGGTGAAGTCCAGCCCTCCACCACCAACCCTGATACATCTACAGACATCACAAACATAGACAAGGCATCTGAACAAGAAGCTTGTTCTCAGTCAAACGAATCATGTCAGCCATTGGATGAGAGGGATTCAGGGACGTTAGAAAGAAGTATTAGCAACAATGAGTCATCTACCAGTACCAAGTCTGATCAAACATTAACGGCCGTGCAGGAATATGAGAATGACGGTGATCACCAACAAACTGTGGTAGAAACAAGCGCCACTGAAAATGTTAGTACAATCAAAACAGATAATCATGGTAAGGAAGAGCAAATACAAGATTCTTCTGACCAAGTGGATGTAGCTACAGTTTTCAATCGTGATTGTGTTGATAAGGTGTCCAGTACAAGGTGCTGCACAGACAACCAGACTGATGGACCGGAATGCATGGATGTAGATAGTGGTACAGTCATTTAATAAATCTTGACTTTTAGTTTATTTTGCTTCACTTGATGTTATTGTTGATTTCTGTACTTAACTTTGCTGCTTTAAATGGTAATTCTAAATAAACTTAATAAAGATTCATGAAAATTTATTGATTTTAATTGCAGTTTGGTTCTTTATGTTAATACTTCCTTTTCTGGTGAACTTATTTTGGTTTTTTGTTTGTGTTTTTTTTTGGTCAGATTTCTTCAATGTTCAATGGAAGTCAGTAATTTTAAAACATTTTCTGTCATTTGAAGAACTTTGCAGTGATGATGAGGAGAAAGAGGAAGAGGAAGATTCCTGGGACAAGATTTTCGATGATGAGGGAGAATGCCTTGATCCTGATGCCTTGGAAGAGGTGAGGCTCAGTGGTCCAGCAGTGTCTATAATCCCTTATCTTAGTTTGTAGTGTTCAAATGTTAGGTCTCCATCATAAATGTCTAAACCTCAGGTCTAGGTCTGTAGTATCTAAAACCCTAGGTCCATGTCAGTATTGTCTAAACCTCCTTTCCAGGTTCATAATGGTTTCTATACCCCAGGTCCTAGTCAGAATTGTCTAAACCTCAATTCTAGGTTTATAATGGTTTCTATACCCTAGGTCCAAGTCAGAATTGTCTAAACCTCAGTTCTAGGTTTATAATGGTTTCTATACCCGATGTCCAAGTCAGTAGTGTCTAAACCTCAATTCCAGGTTTATAATGGTTTCTATACCTCAGGTCCAAGTCAGTAGTGTCTAAACCTCAATTCCAAGTTACAATGGTTTCTATACCCCAGGTCCAAGTCAGAATTGTCTAAACCTCAGTTCTAGGTTTATAATGGTTTCTATACCCGATGTCCAAGTCAGAATTGTCTTAACCTCAATTATAGGTTTATAATGGTTTCTAAACCCCAGGTCCAAGTCAGTAGTGTCTAAACCTTAATTCCAAGTTTATAATGGTTTCTAAACCCCAGGTCCAAGTCAGAAGTGTCTAAACCTCAGGTCTAGCATAATAGTTTCTAAACCTTAGGTCTACCTCAATAGTTTCAAAACCTTAGGTCTGCTTCAATAGTTTCTTTACATCAGGTATACTTCAGTTCTGTCCGGACCTCAGGTCCAGATCATTGGTGGCTAAACCTCCGGTCCAAGACAATATTTTATTAAATTCCAGTAAGGTCAGTAGCTTCTAAACCTATGATTAGGCAATGCAAGTGGTCACTAATTAGGGCAGATGATTAACTACTAAATGTTAACACCAGGGTATAGCGGCTGTTAGTAAGAAAGTCTACATTTGACTAGAGGAACTAGAGCTGACCATGGTATATAATGATATGAAAGAATTCATAGAATTTATTTTGCTTTTCAGTTAACATCTGCGATTGGAAAAGTCAAAATTAAAAAACCTGTGATTGATTACCTTGCCTTCAAACCACGAGAGCCGGACCTCAGTCGGGAGGGTAAGGTGGAGATTGTGCATGTCCTTGTAAATGGAAACTAAGCTCATCATGTGGCAGAAAAAGACATCAGATTTCATATCAAAGTATTGCAGGAAGACCTACCTTGAGAGATCACATGTCTTGATAGCAGATCTACCTTGAAAGATCGAATGTCTTGGCAGAAGATCTACCTTGAAAGATCGAATGTCTTGGCAGAAGTTCTACCTTGAGAGATCACATGTCTTGACAGAAGATCTACCTTGAAAGATCACCTGTCTTGACAGAAGATCTACCTTGAAAGATAACCTGTCTTGAAGGAATATCACCCTTGAGAGATCACCTGTCTTGACAGTGGGTCTACCTTGAGTTCTCACCTGTCTTGACAGAAGATCGAACTTGAGAGATGACATGCCTTGACGGAAGATCTACCTTGAGAGATCACCTGTCTTGACAGTGGGTCTACCTTGAGAGATAACCTGTCTTGAAGGAATATCTCCCTTGAAAGATCACCTGTCTTGACAGAAGGTCTACCTTGAGAGATAACCTGTCTTGAAGGAATATCACCCTTGAAAGATCACCTGTCTTGAAGGAATATCACCCTTGAAAGATCACCTGTCTTGAAGGAATATCACCCTTGAGAGATCACCTGTCTTGACAGTGGGTCTACCTTAAGAGATGACATGCCTTGACAGAAGATCTACCTTGGGAGATCACCTGTCTTGTCTGACACAGCCTGTACAAACTCTTTTTTTTGTTCCAGATTTGGGTCATGTGGTCGAGATATATGACTTCTCAGCAGAGTTAAAAACTGAGGACTTGATGTCAGCATTCCAGCAGTTTAAGTAAGTGTAATTAGATTAAAGCATGTTGCTGCATTAGTCATATAACTGCTTAAATTCGTGTATCACAATAAATTAGGGTTTGTGTACCATTTAGTATTTATCAAACTTCTTGATTCGTGTATGCTGATCATGACTAGAGGGTGACGGTACAGCTATTGTACGTACCTGTTACTATACACTAGTAATGCTATGTGATCATGACTAGAAGGTGACCGTACAGCTATTGTACATACCTGTTACTATACACTAGTAATGCTATGTGATCATGACTAGAGGGGGACGGTACAGCTATTGTACGTACCTGTTACTAGACACTAGTAATGCTATGTGATCTTGACTAGAGGGTGACGGTACAGATATTGTACATACCTGTTACTAGACACTAGTAATGCTATGTGATCTTGACTAGAGGGTGACGGTACAGCGATTGTACATACCTGTTACTATATACTAGTAATGCTATGTGATCACATAGCATTACTATACACTAGTAATGCTTGGTGATCATGATTATAGGGTAACCATACAGCTATTGTACATCCCTGTTATTATGCACTAGTAATGCTCTGTGATCATGACTAGAGGGTGACGGGACAGCTATTGTACGTACCTGTTACTATACACTAGTAATGCTTTGTGATCATGATTATAGGGTAACCATACAGCTATTGTACATACCTGTTATTATACACTAGTAATGCTATGTGATCATGACTAGAGGGTGACGGTACAGCTATTGTACATACCTGTTACTATATACTAGTAATGCTGTGATCATGACTAGAGGGTGACCATACAGCTATTGTAAGTACCTGTTACTATACACTAGTAATGCTATGTGATCATGACTAGAGGGTGACCGTACAGCTATTGTAAATACCTGTTACTATACACTAGTAATGCTATGTGATCATGACTAGAGGGTGACCATACAGCTATTGTAAGTACCTGTTACTATACACTATTAATGCTATGTGATCATGACTAGAGGGTGACGGGACAGCTATTGTACATACCTGTTACTATACACTAGTAATGCTTTGTGATCATGATTATAGGGTAACCATACAGCTATTGCACATACCTGTTATTATACACTAGTAATGCTATGTGATCATGACTAGAGTGTGACGGTACAGCTATTGTACATACCTGTTACTATACACTAGTAATGCTGTGATCATGACTAGAGGGTGACCATACAGCTATTGTATGTACCTGTTACTATACACTAGTAATGCTATGTGATCATGACTAGAGGGTGACCATACAGCTATTGTACATACCTGTTACTATACACGAGGAATGCTATGTGATCATGACTAGAGGGTGACCCTACACAGCTATTGTACGTACCTGTTACTATACACTAGTAATGTTATGTGATCATGACTAGAGGGTGACCATACACAGCTATTGTACGTTCCTGTTACTATACACTAGTAATGCTGTGATCATGCCTAGAGGGTGACCATACAGCTATTGTACGTCCCTGTTACTATACACTAGTAATGCTATGTGATCATGGCTAGAGGGTGACGGTACAGCTATTGTACATAACTGTTACTATATACTAGTAATGATATGATCATGACTAGAGGGTGACCATACAGCTATTGGACGTACCGGTTACTATACACTAGTAATGCTATGTGATCATGGCTAGAGGGTGACGGTACAGCTATTGTACATAACTGTTACTATACACTAGTAATGCTATGGGATCATGACTAGAGGGTGACGGTACAGCTATTGTACGTACCTGTTTCTATGTTACTATACACTAGTAATGCTATGAAGAATGCTGCAGTGCTGGGAACAGGTTTTACTCCAGTCTGTTGGTTCTTCTTTGTACCATATTTTATCTTGTCATTGTTTTCGTTTTAGGAGCAAAGGCTTTGACATCAAATGGGTGGATGATACTCATGCGCTGGGAGTGTTTAACAGTGTGATAGCAGGTAAATAGGTACACGTTTTACAGTTCCGTTTTATTATGTCCACCAAACCAGTTTAACGACTTGTTACTTTTTCCATGTTTATTCTTATTCCGTCTTTGCATATTGCAGAGTTATCTTCTCTTGGGAGCAGGTATTGATTGTTACGTCACTTGTTTGTGAGAGTAACGTCATCAATTTTTGAGAAAACGTCGTAATTTTCTTGCACAAACCAATGACGTAACAATCAATACCTGCTCCCAAGAAAAGATAACTCTGCAATACGCAAAGACGGAATAGTTCTTCTGTCAAATGGTTTTCAGATGTTTCCTCAGAAACTGATTTAATACCAGATACTATTTAATATTGGCTTATAAGGAAAGACGTATGTATTTATTCACAAAACCAAAATTCTAGTCTATAGTGCCATACCAGCTACATACTACAGCACAGAAATCATTATATTCAACCCCGAACCATCTGTCTGAACAGAAGATCTGTCTTGAGGGACCACCGGTCTTAACATGAAATCTATCTTAGTTATTGTTGTATGAATTGTTCCTGTGTTTGCTGCGTAGGTAGGTAGATGAATTATGACAGGTGTTTTGAACACATTGTTTCAGTTTTTGATATGATTTTTGTTACAGCCCAAAGTGCCCTGACTCTGAGTCACCCCTTGCTGAAGGTCAGGGCAATGTCTGAAGCAGCTAGACAGAGCAAGGAAAAAGCTAAGCGAAGTGTTGGTGAGTTTTTATGTATTAAAGAGGTGAGGCAGAGAGTCATACCGGTGTAACATAGCAAAATCTAAATCTTAACAGACAACTCATGAACTGGCCTATGGTAGGATGTTTTCAGGCTACGCCAGGTTACATAGAATTTAAACGACACTTACTAGATACAATCCAAATGTTTTAAAAGTCTACCCTTTCAAACTTTATCAGAATGTAAAAGGAGAATCATTGATTGCAAACCATAAACAGTAAAACAGGTTTATTGTGAATTCTTACTATACTGTACTGCATACATTGTCAATGCAGCTGACCTTTCACCTTTCGTCCTCCAAAATAAGGGTGAACTTATCAATACAGTTAATATAAGTAAGCAATGTTATATATTTAGTAATTGTATGTGAAGGGCAGAATTAACACTAGGCAAACATGGATCTTGATGGGAAAGGGCTTAAGTTTCCCAGTATACAGTACTGCTGTGCTACTAATGAAACCTTACTTGCAAGTGTTACATGGAGGTTATTTTTAAACTTAAGATTCTAGGTTTGGTTTGGTTAAGTATTGTTTAACGTCCTATCAACAGCTATGGTCATTTAAGGACGGAGATTCTAGGTATTGTTGTTGATTGAAATAAGTTTCTCTATGTCACTGCTGACTATTGTATCTATGCAGAGTTCCTGCTTCCTTACAAAGCACGCCCAGAGACATCTGTTATGACTGCTCGGCGACTGGTGACGGGGGCCCTGGGGCTGGCCCCTAAGGTGTCCCGAGAGCAGAGGGACCTAGAACGTCAGAAGCTTCGACAGGCCAAAGGTACTGGTGCCTCTGTAGATGATAGTAGGGATCTTTCAGTCAATATACCGATAGTCAGCATCGCCTTATTGTGTACATTGTTTTGTGTGTTAAATGTCCAGGTTCTTGGCCAATATCAAATAAGAAGATAAAGCTGGGGTCAAAGTTCAACTTTACAGTAGTTTTATCATGGTAAAGAAAACCTATTTTTGTGTCTCCTGCGACGCAAAGGTGACTGATCACTCTGTCAGCCATGTTGGTTGTGTTAGCCACACAAAAGTTTCCATACAATGATAGCTTTGTGTAACTGCAGTAGCCACACAAAAGTTTCCATACAGTAATAGCTTTTTGTAACTGCAGTATCCACACAAAAGTTTCCATACAATAATAGCTTTGTGTAACTGCAGTATCCACACGAAAGTTTCCATACAATGAGAGCTTTGTGTAACTGCAGTATCCACACAAAAGTTTCCATACAATAATAGCGTTGTGTAACTGCAGTATCCACACAAAGGTGTCCATACAATGATAGCTTTGTGTAACTGCAGGATCCACACAAAAGTTTCCATACAATAATAGCTTTTTGTAACTGCAGTATCCACAGAAAAGTTTCCATACAATGATAGCTTTGCGTAACTGCGGTATCCACACAAAGGTTTCCATACAATGATAGCTTTGTGTGATTGCAGTAGCCACACAAAAGTTTCCATACAATGATAGTTTTGTGTAACTGCAGTAGCCACACAAACGTTTGCATACAATGATAGCTTTGTGTAACTGCAGGATCCACACGAAAGTTTCCATACAATGAGAGCTTTGTGTAACTGCAGTATCCACATGAAAGTTTCCATACAATGATAGCTTTTTGAAACTGCATTAGCCACACAAAAGTTTCCATACAATAATAGCTTTTTGTAACTGCAATATCCAGACAAAAGTTTCCATGCAATGATAGCTTTGTGTAACTGCAGGATCCACACAAAAGTTTCCATACAATAATAGCGTTGTGTAACTGCAGTATCCACACAAAGGTGTCCATACAATGATAGCTTTGTGTAACTGCAGGATCCACACAAAAGTTTCCATACAATGATAGTTTTGTGTAACTGCAGTAGCCACACAAACGTTTGCATACAATGATAGCTTTGTGTAACTGCAGGATCCACACAAAAGTTTCCATACAATAATAGCGTTGTGTAACTGCAGTATCCACACAAAAGGTTCCATACAATGATAGCTTTGTGTATCTGCATTAGCCACACAAAAGTTTCCATACAATAATAGCTTTTTGTAACTGCAATATCCAGACAAAAGTTTCCATGCAATGATAGCTTTGTGTAACTGCAGTATCCACACGAAAGTTTCCATATGATAGCTCCTTAAGGAATGCCTTGATTTATACAAATACTTATACATACAGTATCAATTACCAACTCAAATCCGATTTTTTTTCAAACTTACCTTGTGTGCTTTCAAGTCCTTTACTCAATTAACATGCTTGACCAAATTTGCTGCTGAAGTTTGGTTTGCAAATAATGTCCTGGCTGTATCTTTTGAAGAAAGGATATCATTTTGATGAATTTTCTACCAATTTTCCCTCACTCAAGTTTGATTCTCAGCAAAATTCATTAACGCTGATGAAATCTGATTTGTTGATAGTTTTTCTTGAAAGAATTATCAGATTTTCAGGAAATTTGCCTCAAACAAACAGTCCCTTTCAAAATAGCAATCAGCCATCGTTCTTCTTAGTGTGGGTAACACATCCACATCTGTGGATGTCTTCAGTAAGATTCAGTAGTAGGTAATATATAGTAGGTAATATAAAGTAAAACTTTGATATCTCATCTGTGGATGTCTTGAGTAAGATTCATTAGTAGGTAATATATAGTAGGTAATATAAAGTAATACTTTGATATCTCATCTGTGGAATCTTGTTATTGACAAGGTCGTGTATAAGAATCGGAGTGATGCAGTCTTCAAATTTACAGCTGGGCTTCAATTTGTAGCAAATGATTCATGACAATTTCTATCATCACTATGGGACAACTGACAGCAAAGTTTGTAGTTGGAGAAAACATGGTAACTGTATATATCTGTTCCTCATTTCCAGAAAAGAAGAAGCTGATGAAGAAACAAATAGATGGTATATGGGAAGGAACATACACATGGGGTAATTCGGAAACATCCTGATGGAATTTCTCACTGACAAGTGCCTATTAAACACGGTCGATTGTCAGCTTGGCCAAGCAATGAAGTGCCCTTCTATCCTCTGCCTGAAAACTTAAGATATTTTTAAATAACTTTATAAAATTTGATATTGTCACACAATACCTAAAAATAATGATGTGCAATTGAGCAAATTTAAAATTGAAATAAATCAAAAGAAACAACATCATTATCATCAGATCAGTTTAGACACATTCTAGAAATACATCTATGATGTGGCTAGGAAGAGAGGTGATTTGGTGACCCTATATGGCTAGAGATTAAGTAACAGGTGCTGGAAGAAACATCACACATGAAGTGCTAACAGTCTATGTGTTACAGTAGGAGCTCCTGCTTTTGGAGGTCTGGAGCAAGATTGATTCAAGGTGAATGTCTTTCTTTACTGAGAGAGGGAGTATCCCTAATTTGGTTCAAAGGATAACTGAACCATAGGAACAGTGTATAAGTAAGAAATACAATACTGTTAGCAGAGGGCCCTCTCAAGTTAAAGTAAATAAATCGTAAAGAATCGCTCAAAATTACAAAATGTTTGGACTACGGCTATCATTGCAAAGATGAAATATCGTCATTATTGGACTATACGGCTATCATTGAAAAGATGAAATATCGTCATTTTATGTGCACATGCAGCAAGTTTGATATAAATTGTAGATTATTTATGAGATATTTATTTTTGCATAAAATTAAACATCAATCATGAATTTAAGTATCAAACAAACAATATGTAAGATGTATAATGTACTCAGTAAATAAATTAATGTTCTCACTGATAAGGACCGAAAGATTAGTTCACAAAGTGCTAGTAATCTACAGTATATATAAGTATAATTATATAATAGTTGGCATGATATACATACATTTTGCTATATTTATTGTTTTTGAATAAACATGAAATGCTGTCAATAGATATGTGTAAGTGTTGGTCATTTAAGTGTGTTGTGTGTAAGTGTTGGTCATTCAAGTGTGTTATGTGTAAGTGTTGGTCATTCAAGTGTGTTATGTGTAAGTGTTGGTCATTTAAGTGTGTTATGTGTAAGTGTTGGTCACTGTATCACAGTGTTATGTGAAGCAGCTTTGAAGTCATGTGGTATCACTTACTTCATACTTTGACTGGTGACAACTTATCAAATGTCAGTACATTTAAGCATTGAACTCCTTTCAGTTGGCATTTATAGGCAATATGAATGCCAACTGGACAAAGGCAAATTCAATGAAGTGCGCTATATTGCCTATGAATGACGATTGAAAGCAGTGCAATACTTGTATTTACCAATTTTGGAATTTGTTCATCTCATAAAAAATTTGATTACACTTATTATTCAGCATTTAGTTCAAATAACGCTATATGTACCGTGTACGCTTGTTCAACGAATAGAACAGCCATCGCCCGAGGAGTATCCAACAAAACAGTTTATGACGTCATAATAATGATGACGTCAACAATCTGTTCATGGCATTCATAGCCTATATGAATGCCAACTGAGTTTGGTCGGGTTATATAGTGGCAATGCCATTCGATGGAAATTATTGTAATATGATCCTATACCAATGGCTTCACCATTGAATTTCCTGACTGAAATAATGCAAATGTGGTATACATTTCTTTATATATATCTGAACATCACCACAAAAGAAAAATATGTACCATCTGGAAGGAATTATATGTATGTCACACACCAAATAATTATGTAGTATCCATCTAATGTTGTGTAATGTTTGGTGATTGAAAGAGCAATTCAAATGAGGGATACAGCCGATGCACTGACATATGTGTGGAAATTAATATAAATGAGATAGAAATTAAGAGGCCCATGGGCCTCAACGGTTACCCGAGTCCAGTATTTATTTTTGTTGTTGAAACATTCCTACCAATTTGAGTAAATAGTAGTTAAGTTTAACATTAAGTTAACTTGTCAGGACCATGAGTTGATCATTCATAGACCGAATTTCAGTTAAATCTGCCTATTAGAACTTGATTTTTAATTTGAAATGTTTTTGTTTTTCTAGCTCACCTGGCCCGAAAGGTGAGCTTATGCCGTACTGCGGCGTCCGTAGTTCGGCATCCGGCGTCCATCCGTCTACTTTTTCTTTTAAACGACTTCTTCTGAAGAACTGTAGGACCTAGGGTCATGATATTTGGTCAGTAGGTATCTGGGAAGGAGTGCTATAAAGTTTCCTCATTAAAATGTTTTCAACGTCACAGTGGTCAAATATGTGAAAAATTTCAAACAACAATATCCTAAGAACCATTTGAACTAGAGTAATGATACTTGGGTATGTTATGTAGACCAGCAGTGCGAATATTTTTCTCAATTACAGTTGTGAGGTCAAAGATTAACTGTAAGTGCTAGTTGGGGGTCAAATGTCAACAGGTTTAAAGCTTTAACAATCTTCTTCTCAAGTTCCATAAGGCCCAGGGTCATGATATTTGGCCAGTAAGTACCTGGGATGTAGTGCTATAAAGTTTCCTCATTAAAATGACCTAGACCTGCATTGAAGGTCACAGGGGTCTAATATGTTAAAAACTTTAAATAACAATATCCTAAGAACCATTTGAACTAGAGTTATGATACTTGGGTATGTTATGTAGACTAGCAGTTCGAAAAAAATTCTCAGTGACAGTAATGAGGTCAAAGGTCAACTTTTAATGCTAGTCGGGGGTCAAATGTCAACTTTGGTTAAAAGCTTTAACAATCTTCTTCTTGAGTTCCATAAGGCCCAGGGTCATGCTATTTAGCCAGTAGATACCGGGGATGTGGTGACCTACTTTCAAGGTCACTAGGGTCAAATATGTTAAAAACTTCAAACAACAATACCCTAAGAACCATTTTGACTAGAGTCATGATACTTGGGTATGTTATGAAGACAAGCAGTGCGATTATTTTTCTCGATTACAGTAATGAGGTCAAAGGTCAACTTTAAGTGCAAGTCGGGGTCAAAGGTCAACATGGGTCAAATACTTAAACAATCTTCTTCTCAAATTCCATAAGGCTCAGGGTCATGATATTTTGCCAGTAGGTACCTTGGATGAAGTGCACAACATTATCGCACATGTGTGACCACACCTTGTTCACCTATGATAACCTATGATAACACCTCGTGTACACATGTGTGACCACACCTTGTTCACCTATAATAACACCTCGTGTACACATGTGTGCCCACACCTTGTTCACCTATAATAACACCTCGTATACACATGTGTGACCACACCTTGTTCACCTATGATAACACCTCGTGTATACAAGTGTGACCACACCTTGTTCACCTATGATAACACCTCGTGTTCACATGTGTGACCAAATCTTGTTCACCTACCACCTCGTGTACACATATGTGACCACACCTTGTTCACCTATGATAACACCTCTTGTACACATGTGTGACCACACCTTGTTCACCTATGATAACACCTCTTGTACACGTGTGACCACACCTTGTTCACCTATGATAACACCTCATGTACACATGTGTGACCACACCTTGTTCACCTACCACCTCGTGTACACATGTGTGACCACACCTTGTTCACCTATGATAACACCTCGTGTACACATGTGTGACCACACCTTGTTCACCTATAATAACACCTCTTGTACACATGTGCGATAATGTTGTGCAGATTTTCTCCACAGATGATTAATAAAGTAATATCAAAGACACGTTTTGATTTAAGCATCTTTATTTTTCTTTACTTAAAAAGAACTATATTAATTTATATGGAAAAGCTTCTATTTTTGTAGCTAAAGAATCATACTTTTTAAGTGCACTTAAAAGAACATTATCGCACATGTGTGACCACACCTTGTTCACCTATGATAACACCTCGTGTACACATGTGAGACCACACCTTGTTCACCTATGATAACACCTAGTGTACACATGTGTGACCACACCCTGTTCACCTATAATAACACCTCTTGTACACATGTGCGATAATGTCGTGCAGATTTTCTCCACAGATAATAAATAAAGAAATATCAAAGACACGTTTTGATTTAAGCATCTTTATTTTTCTTTACTTAAAAAGAACTATATTAATTTATATGGAAAAGCTTCTATTTTTGTAGCTAAAGAATCATACTTTTTAAGTGCACTTAAAAGACCATTATCGCACATGTGTGACCACACCTTGTTCACCTATGATAACACCTCGTGTTCACATGTGTGACCACATCTTGTTCACCTACCACCTCGTGTACACATGTGTGACCACACCTTGTTCACCTATGATTTTTGTAGCTAAAGAATCATACTTTTTAAGTGCACTTAAAAGAAATAATTCACAACAACTAATTAATTGCACAATTTCTATAAATGTTAAAGGTCATTGGCAATGATATTTTGTAAAGCACTATATTTTTGGTTTGTATCAGTGTAGCATCACCTACATTAATACCTGACTTCACGATAGATGTGACAACATTTTTGCTGCAGAAAAACAGTTTATAATAAGGTTACCGCGAAGCGATGAATAATACGCTCGTCACACATTGAATGTATAAAATAATTGCAAGTAATTGATGTTAAAGGAGAAATAATTAAACATACCTGGTAGATCAATGAGTGCAATAAAACATCTTAGAATGCATGTTGTACTGTATTAATGAAACCAGGGGAAATAAGTTTATTAATTAATTATGGTCAGATAGTTGTATTGCACTCACTCCAATGATTCATTACTCCTTAAATTACAGTTGGATATTGGAGGTTATCCAACTTATCCAACCTATCCTGGTAATTAAACTTCCTATGAAGTATGAAGTAAATCTGTTAAATATTACTTGAGATTTTATTGTGTGTGGTTTGCAATTGAGTAAAGGGTCATAACTCTGTAAATTAGTCAGATAATGGTAGTTATCAAAAACATCAAGAGTTCTCATGATAATTAATCTTCCTATGAAGTTGAAGTTAATCCATTTGAAATAACTAGAAACAACGAGCGTATACCGTTTTAACAATTTAATAAAGGGACATAACTCCGTAAATTACAACCGGACAATAGTGGTTATCAAATTCGTCCAAGTTTTCATGGTAATTAACAATCCTATAAAAAGTTTCAAGTAAATCTGTTGAAAATTACTTACAATTTTGAGGGGAAACCGTGCACACCCACCCGCTCACATGATAACATAATACGTCATGCCACTTAATATGTGTATAAAAAGAAAGTCTTTAGATCAACAAGATAAAAATTTATGGTGGACTGAAAATCTACCAATAATGATAAGCTGACCGACTGTCAGTCACTTGTCAAACATTTCTAAACCTTAGTTATTGTATGCAGCCATTTCGGCGCTAACAGCTAGCATTCAACGACTCTAGCACTGCCGAACCATGTACTCCTTTACAGCTGAGTAGACTGGAACAAGGGGAGTAAAGTATCTTGCTCAAAGATGCAACACAGTGCGGTGCCGTGACTCAAACCCATGAGCCCGGCATCCTACCACTAGACTACCGTGCCTCCATTGTATTGGGGCAATGACTCAAAATAAATAACTTTTTGAAGCGATTATAGAGTTACTGTGTATCATGTATCACGAAAAAAAAAATTTCATTGCCAATGACTTTTAACAACATCTATTTAATAAAAAGTATACATTAATTATTATATAAATCACACTTAAACACAACGTATTTGCAACGTAATTGTATGAACTGAACTGAATCAAATTGTTGATAAAATATCATCAACCAACATTATTTTTTGTATAATTTGTTCGCAATATGAAACACCACTGACCTGACATTTCAAGTCAAATGAAATTTGCTGATGAAATCTTCTTATATATTTGATAAAAATCATGTTGAATTTGTTCGACTCTTACAAATGATTTAAGAAACATCAGTGAACAGTCAAAATGTTCAGTCATTAATTCTACCACAACGAAGTCCGGGTTTTTTTTCTAGGAAAAAATAAAATCTGCCACCAATCTTTTGAAATAATTGAATCTTAGATGAATCTACTTCTTAATTTTAAACTTTTACTTTAAATGAAAATGGTAATTGGAGGCCTCGCATAGTAACCATTATGAACAAGAGAACTGCGGGGCGGAACAATATACGCCCGTCGAATGTCATATAGTGTTATATACTTTCTTACATTGAAATATGATCTGCATCATTCTTAGAGTGGTTAGCTGACAAATGAACAAAGGGCAGTAACTTTTGGAAAAATTGTTGAATCAAAATTCTTTAAAGGGAGACAGAACTTCATATCATGATTATGATGACTATACCAAGTTTCAAAGAGATTGGTTGAAAAATGTAGGAGGAGATTGCCGGACAAACAAAAGTTTACGCTGGACGGACGGACGGACGGACGGACAGATGGACAACCCCATACCATAATACTCCCGTCAAATTTGACGGGCGTATAAAAATTATACATTGCAAGAATATTTTAATGACGCAAGAAATATATAAACTAAACACACACTGATAAAAATATATTTTGCATACATAAGACCTCTATTCTTCAATATATGCCAATATTGTCCGGGGAGTTTGTGCAGCACACTTTACTTTTAAGGGTGGTTGAGTGGCACAGTAGTTTACACACTCGCCTTTAATCAAGGCGGCCAGGGTTCAATTCCCCGATCTGACGTGAAAAAGTATGAGGTAACCTGCCCGACAAGGTTGGATTTCTCCGGGTACTCCGGTTTCCTCCCACATTTAAGACCCCTGCATGCTAACATCCGGGCCAATTCAAGAAGACTGATTAATATGAGTTATAGAACTTGTTTCATAATTGACATAAAATAAATAAAGTTTATATATAAAAGACTATACTTACAAGATAATTATAATAAACCCATTTATAAATAATGATGAAAATATATATACCCTGTGTATAGACTATTTAACAGTCTAATTATGCAGTGCCCTCTGATCAAATAATCATTGTAATTATAAGCTTCTTTCTACCTCTGTTTCCAGAGTTCAATAAAATAGTGACCAACTCCTACAGATGCATGATCTTCATGCATTAACATACTAAAAATACATATAAACATGGTGAATGAAAATGAAGAGGAAGTGAGAGTATTTCAAATGTATAAGGGCCAAGAAATATAAGCATGGATGCAGCAAATTAAATATTGACTTTCATAATGATTACATTAATAATAAGCCTATGTGGGTATGTGGCCTGATTTAAACTGAGAAAGTGTCTTTACAGGTCAAAGGGCAATGCTCCAAAATGAAGCAGAAATGTTGTAAATTACAATTACTTTTGTCTCACTTACTCCAATTTGTAAGGAGGGTATCAATACTGAAATTCTGAATTTTGTTCTGAATTAAATCGATTCATTTATAATACTGTACCTGGTAACATGTACGTAAAATATAAATTACAACGTGGAAATCTGTTCTGAGTAAATTAATGGCAGTATGTGGGTTTGGCGGTTTAACGGGTGGCATTACAACAGATTTTTACTCTATATATAAGCTCAGTACAAGAGTACATCTCTGGCTGAATACAATGATATTGTAGGTTTAAACGTATATGTTAATTCACTCATGTTCAGACAAGCTTAAAATGCAATTACCAAAATCAGCATTTTTTCCTTATATAATATCATTACGAAGAAGTTACATCTCAGAAACCAGGTGCTTGCATGGTGTTCAGTTAAAGACCTAAACGTTACACATTGACTGTGCTGTCTTTAATCTGATATAACTGTGTCAATTCTTTTGTACTAAGAATACTTTTTATATATGTATTTTGATGTAAATTTTTCATTGCAGAATTACTGAATTCTTACATATATATATGTTTACATAAATATGATTGGAGTTTATAAATTTCAGTTAAGAAAAACAAAATCCATTATGGATTGTGTTAAGAAGTGTTATTAGATGATATAATTGTATGTCATCTCATCATATCATCTTCACTGGTTGATTTGTGTCAATTTTTTTTAGAAACAACATGTCACTTCAATTGTTAAGTCAATTTGCTCTCTTGCCAGTTGCAGTACTTATCTCTTAATGATTTGCTCACACTACATCTCTTTTTTATGACAAAAGCATCATAAATATCATAAATATCATCTGTAATACAACAATTGAGGACTTTCACTTTGATGGATATGTGTTATTGTTGCCAATTTCTCTCGGTTAATAACACTTTCTCGGGTTCATAAAACTTCATATTGACCTCAAAAAAGAAGTCTAAAAGATATTTTTCTAGAATCGTGTAATTCTGGAGGTTGATCGAGGTTAATAACTGAATGGGACTACCTGGGTTTTTATAAAATGTACTTGTGGTAGCAATACTAATGAGTACTATATTTTAACAAGAGGCCCAAGGGCATATCATAGTTATATCATAGGTACTGGTAGCTTTATTTTATTGTTTAGATGTGATGTGGAAATCAGCATGTAAACTAAGTGAAATACAATACTTGTCATGTCATCAAAGGATAAGAATTTTAAAATATTTGTAAATGTTCCCTTTGGGGCCCCGCTCTAACCCCTGGGGATGGGGCAGGAATTCCAAGTTTACAATGTGATACCGTCATCCACCAAAGATGATTCTGACCAAGTAAAAATAATTTCCAACAGAAAATTGTCAAAATATACCCAAAAGTGTTGTTTCCCTATATAAACTATAGTAAACTTTACCCCCTCCCCAAGGGAGAACGGATAGCTCGGGGGTCCTGAAATTTACAATTTAAATAAAGCCCCTGATGATCTTTCCATCCATGCAGAGAAAATGACTGTAATACCTCTGTGTCTGGAGAAGAAGATTTTTGAAATATTGGTTTATTTTCCCTTTTGGGCCCCGCCCTGGCCCCTAGGGTTGGGGTAGGAATCCCAATTTTACAATTTGGTAGCCTCATCTACCAAGGATGATTCTGACCAAGTTTGAAAAAATTCCATACACTGGTTCTGGAGAAGAAGTTGATAATGTAAAAAGTTTATGCACGACTCACGACGACGGACGGAAAGTGATTGGAATAGGTCACTTGAGCAAAGCTCAGGTGACCTAAAAATATCAGGAGACAAATATCAATGTCACAATGAGTATATAACTAGTGTCTACAGCATATTGGTATGCAACATTATGTAATAGGCTAGTTCTACAAACAGTGCCAATTCAGCAGTGCATGTGTTTACCTCAATGGACACATCCTCGATACATCCTCGATCGATACATCTTCGATACCCAAGGGGTTACGCTCATTTTTCTATTCTGCACCCCTGGTACCTTTATCCCAGCAGAAGAAGAAGGATATTAAAGCTACAGTTCCTCTATATCCCTTATTGGGCCTCGACTCTCTGCCCCAAGGGGAGTCAGACCCACCGTTTATACAAAATTGGTTCCCTTCACCAAAGGTGCTTCATACCAAATTTGGACAAAATCCTGTCATTCGTACAGAAGAAGAAGGTATTTGAAGAATTTGCTATGTTTCCCCTATTGGCCCCCTCCCTTCTGCCCCCAGGGGGGCCACACTCGCTGTTTATACAAAATTGTGTCCCTTTTGCCCTAGGATGCTCCAGAATAAATTAGTATAAAATCCCTTAATCGCAATGGGAGAAGAAGGATTTTTAAGGTTTTACCTCTATTTCCCCTATTGGGCCTCGTCCCTCAGGTCCAAGGAGGGCCACACCCACCATTTATACAAAAAATTGAGTCCCCTTAACCCGAGGATGCTCCACACCAAATATGGACCAAATCCTTTCATTCCTACAGAAGAAGAAGGATTTTAAAGAATGATTTGCTATGTTTCCCCTATTGGGCCCCACCCCTCAGGCCCCTTAGGGGGTCATACCCACGGTTTATATAAAATTGGTTCCCCTTTACTCAAGGATGCTTCAGACCAAATATTGAACAAATCCTGTCATTACTACAGAAGAAGAAGGATTTTAAAGAATTTGCTATATTTCCCCTATTGGGCCCGGCCCCTCAGGCCCCTGGGGTCCAGACCCACGGTTTATACAAAATTGAGTCCCCTTGGCCCAAGGATGCTCCTGACTAAATTAAGATAAAATTCTTTAATCCCTATGGTAGAAGAAGGATTTTAAAGGTTTTACCTCTATTTCCCCTATTGGGCCCCACCCCTCTGCCCTCACCCACCATTTATTCAAAATTGAGTCCCCTTAGCCTAAGGATGTTCCAAACCAAATTTAGTCAAACTCTACTTGGCCGTTCTGGACTAGTAGCGTTTTAAAGGAAAAGTTGACGGACGGACAGACGACGAATGGATGGACGGACGGACGGACGGACGACGGACGATGGACGACGGACGCTGCAGTATGGCATAAGCTCACCATGGTCCTTTGGACCAGGGGAGCTAAAAAGTTTTCTCCCATCCTTCACAGGTGCGTCTCCCGTTTTAGCCGGGAAAGAGCAGCTTGTCGACACCAAGGGGGAGATAGCCTTGTACTGATTAGCATATGTTCAATTGTGACGTCATTAAAATGCGTCACCGGTAATTGTGACATCATCAAAAGTGAATGACGATATGCATACCCACATGTGGTTTTTTTACAAATAGTTGGTGTTGTGACTGAATTAATAGGGTGGGAGAAAAATAATCATTCCCTACCTTGAGGGTGTAACAGATAAATCTCCAACCTGAGGGGTGATTTTTTTTGGTTGTCACCCCTCGGGTTAGAGATTTCTATGTCAAACCCTAAAAGTAGGGGAAGATTCCATCAATCAATACTATTAAAAATGTGCAGGTAGACAGACACTTGATGCCTAGCAGAGAGGGCGTGGTCAGGCACTGTTCACTACAAGCCTATCCCTTTGGCGTTCAATTCTTCAGTGACACGGTCAAGGTACTCGTTGTCAGGGTAACCAAACCTGTAACAAAGAACAACACCGCATGTTAAATCAACACTATATATACCCATCACAGGATCTATTTATTTTCACCAGTTGATAAGGATTTTCACTCAGGTGAGTATTTATATATAATTATCTGTTACCCGTAAATGTTACAATTAATAACTTACTTTTCTGTCCCACCGTCCCGACGCGTCTTGTGGTGGATATCATTCCAGGTGACGACATCATTTTCTCCGGTTGTGCGTGACTGACCTACAGTAAAGGTCAGTCTTTGTTCAAAAGATTCTCTGAGCATCTGGAGGACCTTGTGACCCTGTGAATTGTCTGGGAGGTAACCCTGACGATTGAGGCCCTTGAATCCTTGTCCGGGATCTGGGTGTTCTTCCTGTGTACACAAAGGAGTACGGCAAAATTTTGAAATTACTAACTTCCATACACACAAAATACTATTTACTCCCACATCTTTATATGGTAGATACATAATTGGGACATCCATTTATGCTGGTCTAAAGGATATAGTTGTCCTACTGAAAGTGAAGAATTTGCCAAGCTTCGGACTCCGTAATTCTACACCCGAAGGTAGTATTTCCAAATACCATATACCTTAAAATAAAGACTGACTTTTCCCAACCTCATTCCAGAATTAACATATTTAGGCAAAAACAAATTGATAATGCAAATGCAATACCAAACACTTTCTACACAAAGGTTAATGGACCAATTATTAAGGTAAATGGACCTTTTCACCTTTGCTTAATACAAATGTATCTGAATGCAATTTATGCTTGCAATATTTTTTTGAAATTATATTTGCATATTTTGCTACCAAATCGGATCGTTATGTCGGTGTTAAAATCCAAGATGGCAGCTGCTTTTCTTGATAGATAATGTGTCTCAGTTTAGAAAAAGCCCACCTCCTTTTTCCCCCTGAAATGATCCCAAGTATAAAATGATATTTAGATAATTTACTTACATCTTGTGTGCCGTCTGGGAATATGTAGTTGATTATCAATGTTTTACAGCCGGAATAGCCTGGGAGTGAGTTGTCGTCACGGTAGACCGTGGCTGTTCCGTTAACTGGCTGGTCACCCTGTACGACTGCGTACACAGTGGTACACACAGGACACACAGGCTTCTGGTGGAACGATTCAGAAATACATTCTCGGCAGAACATGTGACCACATCTGTTCAGTTTCACTGGATCATCAAAACTGTCCATACAGATCACACAGCTATCCTCAACCTGATCACCGCATGTGGCACCCTCCCTCATGGAACCACATTTACTTGTGCTGGGGTCATCACCAAGGATCTTCATGTTGCCTGCTGGTTTTGTCGCCCTTTTGAAAAAATGTGTCATATCTAGCTTACCAGAGGAGCTATTCTTGTGGCTCCTCCATTCAGCAATTTTCTGGCATTTTTCTGGCCAAAATTTAGACCCTTTTCTCAGGGGCCCAACATCTGTGTCATTTTCATAGTACCCAGATGCGAATTTTTGTGGCTTGTTAGATTGGCGTGGTGTGGGAGGCAGTGACCTATTTTCAAATGATCTCATCTTTTTCCGGAATGTTTCCCGCATACCTTTCACAATAACGGCTTCCCGCATGTCCACCACATGGACTTCCTGCAACTGCATCGGTGTACTCTTCCGAGCAAACTCCTCAAAGGCAGCAAACATGACCTCGGAACACTTTTCTACATAAAATGGGGTTTGCAAGGACCCTGAAATGTACAAGTGTGAACTAGATTACCTCAGGTAGCAAAATAACTCTGACAGTAAAAAGCATTCTATCAAACTTCGTAACAAAAGTCATACAGGCATAAAGAGAAAATACAAAGTTTTCAATTTAGAGTTAATCTGATTGAACCCAAAGCAGTAACTTTCTGAATACCCTTAACATGCTGCCAAATTAGATTTAAGCTTATAATCTGACCGTCTATTTACATTGTGGTAGTTGTATTCAGGGTGAAATAATAACCCTGTAATAAAGCAGTGAAGGAAGAAGATTCTAGACACATTGTTCTTTGATTGTTTAGGTTATAATGACTAAGTTTTAAGTGGTAAAACATGAATAGGACATATGCTCCAGAAACTATTTTGTCCTGAATTAAGGTCATAGTTCATGAAATTGGTTGCACTACCAAAATTACTTAGCTCTTGAATTTACAGTGCAACACTCCTTCCTTACTTTTAATTCCAAATCATAAGTTCTTTTAAAAATAGGTTAAGCACTGAAGTCTTCCAGAGGTCAAAATATGGGTCTTTGTAACAAAGGTTTCATGCACAACTATTTTGTCTTCCCTACATTATGCTTGCATACAAAATAATATAATCCTACACAAAATGGTAAAGGAGAAATGCTTTGGTATCAATTCAGATAGATAAATAAACAAGGTGAGAAATATTACCTGATTTTGTTGAACCAGCGAAATACAGTGTTACAAGTAACCAAACTTACCTGTAGAAAAAATAAAGTTCTCAACCCTAATACAACATCCCCCTAACCCACTAATGACACCCTCACCCTAACCTCCCAACCCTAGTACAACATCCCCCTAACCCACTAATGACACCCTCACCCTACCCTCCCAACCCTAATACAACATCCCCCTAACCCGCTAATGACACCATCATCCTAACCTCCCAACCCTAATACAACATCCCCCTAACCCAATAATGACATCATCATCCTAACCTCCCAACCCTAGTACAACATCCCCCTAACTCACTAATGACCCCCTCACCCTAACCTCCTAACCCTAATACAACACCCCCCTAACCCACTAATGACATCCTCACCCTCACCTCCCAACCCTAATACAACATCCATACAACATCCCCCTAACACACTAATGACATCCTCACGCTAACCTCCCAACCCTAATACAACACCCCCCTAACCCACTAATGACATCCTCACCCTAACCCCCCAACCCTAATACACTAACCCACTAATGACACCATCAGCCTAACCTCCCAACCCTAATACACCATCCCCCTAACCCAATAATGACAACATCATCCTAACCTCCCAACCCTAGTACAACACCCCCCTAACTCACTAATGACACCCTCGGCCTAACCTCCCAACCCTAAGACAACATCCCCCTAACCCACTAATTACACCCTCACTCTAACCTCCCAACCCTAATACAAAATCCCCCTAACCCACTAATGACACCCTCACCCTATCCTCCCAACCCTAATACAACATCCGCCTAACCCACTAATGACACCCTCATCCTAACCTCCCAACGCTAATACAACATCCCCCTAACCCAATAATCACATCATCATCCTAACCTCCCAACCCTAGTACAACACCCCCCTAACTCACTAATGACACCCTCGGCCTAACCTCCCAACCCTAAGACAACATCCCCCTAACCCACTAATGATCCCCTTACCATAACCTCCCAACACTAATACAACATCCCCCTAACCCAATAATCACATCATCATCCTAACCTCCCAACCCTAGTACAACACCCCCCTAACTCACTAATGACACCCTCACCATAACCTCCCAACCCTAATACAACATCCCCCAAACCCACTAATGACACCCTCACCCTATCCTCCCAACCCTAGTACAACATCCCCCTATCTCACTAATGACACCCTCACCCTATCCTCCCAACCCTAATACAACATCCGCCTAACCCACTAATGACACCCTCACTCTAACCTCCCCACCCTAATACAACATCCCCCTAACACACTAATGACAGCCTCACCCTAACCTCCCAACCCTAATATAACATCCCCCTAACCCACTAATGTCACCCTCACCCTAACTTCCCAACCCTAATACAATATCCCCCTAGCCCACTAATGACACCCTCACCCTATCCTCCCAACCCTAATACAACATCCATACAACATCCCCCTAACACACTAATGACATCCTCTCCCTAACCTCCCAACCCTAATACGACATCCCCCTAACCCACTAATGATCCCCTTACCATAACCTCCCAACACTAATACAACATCCCCCTAACCCAATAATGACAACATCATCCTAACCTCCCAACCCTAGTACAACACCCCCCTAACTCACTAATGACACCCTCGGCCTAACCTCCCAACCCTAAGACAACATCCCCCTAACCCACTAATGTCACCCTCACCCTAACTTACCAACCCTAATACAATATCCCCCTAGCCCACTAATGACACCCTCACCCTACCCTCCCAACCCTAATACAACATCCCCCTAACACACTAATGACATCCTCACCCTAACCTCCCAACCCTAATACAACATCCCTCTAACCCACTTATGACAACCTCACCCTAACCTCCAAACCCTAATACAACATCCCCCTTACCCACTAATGACACCCTCACCCTAACCTGCCCACCCTAATACAACATCCCCCTAACTCACTAATGACACCCTCACCCTAACCTCCCAACCCTAATACAACATCCCCCTAACCCACTAATGACACCCTCACCCTAACCTCCCAACCCTAATACAACATCCCCCTAACCCACTAATGACACCCTCACCCTAACCTCCCAACCCTAATACAACATCCCCCTTACCCACTAATGACACCCTCACCCTAACCTGCCCACCCTAATACAACATCCCCCTAACCAACTAATGACACCTTCACCCTAACTTCCCAACCCTAATACAACATCCCCCTAACTCACTAATGACACCCTCACCCTAACCTCCCAACCCTAATACAACATCCCCCTAACCCACTAATGACACCCTAACCCTAACCTCCCAACCCTAATACAACATCCCCCTAACCCACTAATGACACCCTCACCCTAACCTCCCAACCCTAATACAACATCCCCCTAACCCACTAATGACACCCTCACCCTAACCTCCCAACCCTAATACAACATCCCCCTAACCCACTAATGACACCCTCACCCTAACCTCCCAACCCTAATACAACATCCCCCTAACCCACTAATGACACCCTCACCCTAACCTCCCAACCCTAATACAACATCCCCCTAACCCACTAATGACACCCTCACCCTAACCTCCCAACCCTAATACAACATCCCCCTAACCCACTAATGACACCCTCACCCTAACCTCCCAACCCTAATACAACATCCCCCTAACCCACTAATGACACCCTCACCCTAACCTCCCAACCCTAATACAACATCCCCCTAACCCACTAATGACACCCTCACCCTAACCTCCCAACCCTAATACAACATCCCCCTAACCCACTAATGACACCCTCACCCTAACCTCCCAACCCTAATACAACATCCCCCTAACCCACTAATGACACCCTCACCCTAACCTCCCAACCCTAATACAACATCCCCCTAACCCACTAATGACACCCTCACCCTAACCTCCCAACCCTAATACAACATCCCCCTAACCCACTAATGACACCCTCACCCTAACCTCCCAACCCTAATACAACATCCCCCTAACCCACTAATGACACCCTCACCCTAACCTCCCAACCCTAATACAACATCCCCCTAACCCACTAATGACACCCTCACCCTAACCTCCCAACCCTAATACAACATCCCCCTAACCCACTAATGACACCCTCACCCTAACCTCCCAACCCTAATACAACATCCCCCTAACCCACTAATGACACCCTCACCCTAACCTCCCAACCCTAATACAACATCCCCCTAACCCACTAATGACACCCTCACCCTAACCTCCCAACCCTAATACAACATCCCCCTAACCCACTAATGACACCCTCACCCTAACCTCCCAACCCTAATACAACATCCCCCTAACCCACTAATGACACCCTCACCCTAACCTCCCAACCCTAATACAACATCCCCCTAACCCACTAATGACACCCTCACCCTAACCTCCCAACCCTAATACAACATCCCCCTAACCCACTAATGACACCCTCACCCTAACCTCCCAACCCTAATACAACATCCCCCTAACCCACTAATGACACCCTCACCCTAACCTCCCAACCCTAATACAACATCCCCCTAACCCACTAATGACACCCTCACCCTAACCTCCCAACCCTAATACAACATCCCCCTAACCCACTAATGACACCCTCACCCTAACCTCCCAACCCTAATACAACATCCCCCTAACCCACTAATGACACCCTCACCCTAACCTCCCAACCCTAATACAACATCCCCCTAACCCACTAATGACACCCTCACCCTAACCTCCCAACCCTAATACAACATCCCCCTAACCCACTAATGACACCCTCACCCTAACCTCCCAACCCTAATACAACATCCCCCTAACCCACTAATGACACCCTCACCCTAACCTCCCAACCCTAATACAACATCCCCCTAACCCACTAATGACACCCTCACCCTAACCTCCCAACCCTAATACAACATCCCCCTAACCCACTAATGACACCCTCACCCTAACCTCCCAACCCTAATACAACATCCCCCTAACCCACTAATGACACCCTCACCCTAACCTCCCAACCCTAATACAACATCCCCCTAACCCACTAATGACACCCTCACCCTAACCTCCCAACCCTAATACAACATCCCCCTAACCCACTAATGACACCCTCACCCTAACCTCCCAACCCTAATACAACATCCCCCTAACCCACTAATGACACCCTCACCCTAACCTCCCAACCCTAATACAACATCCCCCTAACCCACTAATGACACCCTCACCCTAACTTCCCAACCCTAATACAACATCCCCCTAACTCACTAATGACACCCTCACCCTAACCTCCCAACCCTAATACAACATCCCCCTAACCCACTAATGACACCCTAACCCTAACATCCCAACCCTAATACAACATCCCCCTAACCCACTAATGACACCCTCACCCTAACTTCCCAACCCTAATACAACATCCCCCTAACTCACTAATGACACCCTCACCTCCCAACCCTAATACAACATCCCCCTAACCCACTAATGACACCTCACACTAACCTCCCAACCCTAATCCAACATCCCCCTGACCTACTCTCAATGAACTCTCTCTGACCCAATTATGATATAATTCTCCCTGACCCCAAATCTCCCTTATCCCCTCTAAACATAGGGAAAGTTATAACAAGAGGTCCATGGGCCTTAACGGCCTCCTGAGTCCTACAGTATTTATTTTTGTTGTTGAAATATGTACCAATTTGAGTAAAAAATTGTTATGTATAACGTTAACTTAACTTTGTCGGGACCATGAGCTGATCATTTCTAGACCGAGTTTCAGTTAGATCTGCCTATTAGAACTTGTTGTAAGTTTGAAATAGGTATTTTCAAAATAGCGGCCATGGCAGCCAAATTGTATTTCTGATTGACACGAAAAATAACAAAACCTTGTCAGGACCATGAGTCGAACATTCCTACAAAGTTTCAGTTCAATCGGCCAAGTAGAACTTGACTTTAAGTTTGAAATAGTTTTTTCAAAATGGCGGCCGGGGCGGCCATATTGGATTTCTGATTGACCCGAAAAATAACAACACTTTGTCAGGACCATGAGTCAATCATTCCTACCAATTTTCAGTTCAATCGGCCCAGCAGAACTTGACTTTAAGTTTGAAATAGTTTTTCAAAATGGCGGCCGTGGCAGCCATATTGGATTTCTGACCGACCCAAAAAATAACAACACATCAGGGAGATGTCAGTAACATTCTCATGAAATATTAATGAAATCCCTTTGAAGCCAGAATTTCAGCATAAGTTGAATATGTAAAATGTTAATGGACGACGGACGACGACAGACGACAACGGACGAAGACGGATAGCAATAGGTCACTTGAGCTAAAGCTCAGGTGACCTAAAAAGAGTAAGTTGTACCTGCTCCAGGAATAGACATGGCCATCTTCGTCAATGGTTTATATTCAATGTTTTTCTTCCTATACTTGCTCTTTCTCATTTGTGGTAGCCTGTTAGCTTGTCCAAGAACCTCTAAAACAACACGTTTTAACTCCTGCAGTTGTTTTCGAGATGGAGGAACAGAAGGAGAGAACCGCTCCATGATGATGTAATAAATGCAACGCAGGTGTTTCATCTTGTGTGGTTTGACCATAATGACTTGGCCAAGGCCTAGTTCTTTTCCCAAAACAGAATCCTTCATTTTTTTCAAACTTTCTATGAAACTTGAACCATTAGCTTTCTCTATCGCCTGAGAAATTGCTCCTTTCTGATCCCTACCATCGGTGGCTACAATGGCATCAACATCACACTGAATGATGTCCGCATTGTAAATGTGAACCTTCAACTTCCCTCTAAAGATGAAAGTGTTATTTTCAAAGGTACAAGGCTTGTTGCGGGGTGGCCTGCCTCTGCCCTGCATTTCCCTTGGATCAAGACTCTCACCTTGACCATGGTTATAACCTTTTCCATGGTGATGACCTTGGCTAGAGTTTGATCCCTTCCTGTCTCCCCTATCCTGATCACCACTATAGCTGTGACCATAACCTTGATTGCCACCATGTCCTTGACTTCCACCATGACCTTGACTTCCACCTTGACCTTGACTTCCACCATGACCTTGACTTCCACCTTGACCTTGACTTCCACCTTGACCTTGACTTCCACCATGACCTTGACTTCCACCTTGACCTTGACTTCCACCATGACCTTGACTTCCACCTTGACCTTGACTTCCACCGTAACCTTGACTATGCCGAGGACCTTGCCTAGTGTTCCATTCTTTCTTGCCTTGCCAATCACGGTTGTAGTTGTCTCCCTTGGTTACCTTTGGATGTTGAGAAACTAACATGTAAGGATCTAATGCAGATGGTTTCTTCCTCCACTTTTCATAGTAAGCAATCACCATGTCCAGAATCTCAGCCTTGATATCAATGATGTGAAACTCTTCAAGTCTTTTGAGACTACGAACATTTTCAGAAAAGTCAACGATTCCAAGGACGTACATGGCAGCACAAAGGTCGGTAGGTACACCAAACAGACCTAAAATATCAGTAGACTTCCATTATTTATATCACAAAGGTCGGTAGGTACACCAAACAGACCTAAAATATAATTAGACTACCACTATCAATATCAAAGGTCGGTAGGTACACCAAACAGTCCTAAAATATAATTAGACTACCATTATTAATATCACAAAGGTCGGTAGGTACACCAAACAGACCTAAAATATCAGTAGACTTCCATTATTTATATCACAAAGGTCGGTAGGTACACCAAACAGACCTAAAATGTAATTAGATTACCACTATCAATATCACAGGTCGGTAGGTACACCAAACAGTCCTAAAATATAATTAGACTACCATTATTAATATCACAAAGGTCGGTAGGTACATTAAACAGACCTAAAATATCAGTAGACTACCGTTATTTATATCACAAAGGTCGGTAGGTACCCCAAACAGACCTAAAATATCAGTAGACTACCGTTATTTATATCACAAAGGTCGGTAGGTACACCAAACAGACCTAAAATATCATTAGACTACCATTATTTATATCACAAACGTCGGTAGCTATAGGTACACCAAACAGACCTAAAATATCAGTAGACTACCATTATTTATATCACAGAGGTCGGTAGGTACACCAAACAGACCTAACATATCAGTAGACTACCATTATTTATATCACAGAGGTCGGAAGTCGGTAGGTACACCAAACAGACCTAAAATATAATTAGACTACCACTATCAATATCAAAGGTCGGTAGGTACACCAAACAGACCTAACATATCAGTAGACTACCATTATTTATATCACAGAGGTCGGAGGTCGGTAGGTACCCCAAACAGACCTAAAATATCAGTAGACTACCATTATTAATATCAGAAAGGTCGGTAGGTACACCAAACAGACCTAACATATCAGTAGACTCCCATTATTTATATCACAAAGGTCGGTAGGGACACCAAACAGGCCTAAAATATCATTAGACTACCATTATTTATATCACGAACGTCGGTAGCTATAGGTACACCAAACAGACCTAAAATATCAGTTGACTACCATTATTAATATCACAAAGGTCGGTAGGTACACCAAACAGGCCTAAAATATCAGTAGACTCCCATTATTTATATCACAGAGGTCGGAGGTCGGTAGGTACATCAAACAGACCTAAAATATCAGTAGACTACCATTATTAATATCAGAAAGGTCGGTAGGTACACCAAACAGACCTAACATATCAGTAGACTACCATTATTTATATCACAGAGGTCGGTAGGTACACCAAACAGACCTAACATATCAGTAGACTACCATTATTTATATCACAGAGGTCGGTAGGTACACCAAACAGACCTAAAATATCAGTAGACTACCATTATTTATATCACAAAGGTCGGTAGGTACACCAAACAGACCTAAAACATCAGTAGACTACCATTATTTATATCACAAAGGTCGGTAGGTACATTAAACAGACCTAAAATATCAGTTCATCATTATTAATATCACAAAGGTCGGTAGGTACCCCAAACAGACCTAAAATATCAGTACACTACAATTATGTATATCACAAAGGTCGGTAGGTACACCAAACAGACCTAAAATATCAGTAGACTATCATTATTAATATCACAAAGGTCGGTAGGTACACCAAACAGACCTAAAAGATCAGTAGACTACCATTATTAATATCACAAAGGTCGGTAGGTACATTAAACAGACCTAAAATATCAGTAGACTACCATTATTAATATCACAAAGGTCGGTAGGGACACCAAACAGACCTAAAATATCAGTAGACTACCATTATTTATACCACAAAGGTCGGTAGGTACACCAAACAGACCTAAAATATCAGAAGACTAACCACTATTTAACGACATTTTCATTAGGAATCTATATGAAATCAGGACTCTTTTTGTTTTGTTCCATTTTGTTTCCTCAAATGAAAGGGCTAATTCAGTAAAGGATAAAACTTACTCAACATTTAATTAATTGTTAACTGTATATGTATGCATGGAAATATCAAACTCTTTGTAAAACTTTTCACACTAGCAGTGCATTAGTGTTTTTTAATAAATATGGACAGGAAATATTATGCCATGTTGTCTCTGCTCCTTTGGAATACACTGGGCAAACATATTAAAAAAACAAAATGACAAAACGTTAGCTTAATGAACATTTTATAAAGAAAACTTTGAAACAACCCTGTTTAAAATCTCTATGTAACATTATCTGCCTTCTTACTGACCAGCAGTATATTTCTAAAACCACTTTTTTGCCCCCTTTTTTCATAGAAAACTGCCAAAGCCATTTAGAATGCAAAAATGTTTCTAGACAATTGTATAAGAAGGTTTGTAATATGTAAATATAATGCATGCTGTGTTACTGTTTACACTACATGTATGTACTGGTGAATCAACAACTGACTTGTGTTACTGTTTACACTACATGTATGTATTGGTGAATCAACAACTGACTTGTGTTACTGTTTACACTACATGTATGTACTGGTGAATCAACAACTGACTTGTGTTACTGTTTACACTACATGTATGTACTGGTGAATCAACAACTGACTTGTGTTACTGTTTACACTACATGTATGTACTGGTGAATCAACAACTGACTTGTGTTACTGTTTACACTACATGTATGTACTGGTGAATCAACAACTGACTTGTGTTACTGTTTACACTACATGTATGTACTGGTGAATCAACAACTGACTTGTGTTACTGTTTACACTACATGTATGTACTGGTGAATCAACAACTGACTTGTGTCACTGTTTACACTACATGTATGTACTGGTGAATCAACAACTGACTTGTGTCACTGTTTACACTTCATGTATGTACTGGTGAATCAACAACTGACTTGTGTCACTGTTTACACTACATGTATGTATTGGTGAATCAACAACTGACTTGTGTTACTGTTTACACTACATGTATGTATTGGTGAATCAACAACTGACTTGTGTTACTGTTTACACTACATGTATGTATTGGTGAATCAACAACTGACTTGTGTCACTGTTTACACTACATGTATGTATTGGTGAATCAACAACTGACTTGTGTTACTGTTTACACTACATGTATGTACTGGTGAATCAACAACTGACTTGTGTTACTGTTTACACTACATGTATGTACTGGTGAATCAACAACTGACTACGATTGGACAATACAACATTTCTTCACAGATATTTTATAATGACATCACAATCATATCATTTCATTGTGGTTGCAATCATCTGTAAAAATATTTTTTTAAAGTTAAAAAGTTGCTAACCTGAGCTAATGGGTGGCATGGCAACTCTTTGATATCCAAACTTCACCGATGTTTTCAGTATTTCTACGACAGTATCCCGGACCTTTTCCACACATTCTGTCTTATCTTTGAAGTTGTTCCACTGTGGTCCCACGGCATGTATCACTCCATCGTAACCCATCTGTCCTGCCCTAGTTACAACATTTTTTGTCACAGGGATACTTCCATCCCTCCTGATGAGGTCCCTGCATTCCTTGTCAAACTCGTACCCGCCAGCTTTAGACAATGCACCTGCAACCCCTGCGCCATTTGCCAGGTGCTCATTGGCTGCGTTCACCACCGTATCTACATTTAGTTTTGTGATGGCCCCCTGATAAATCTTTACAGTGAGTCCATTACTTGTTTGAAATTTGAACTTAATGTCTGAAGGACTGGCTGCACCGCCTCCAGAGGCTATGTCTGTAGCAGGATCTGTGTAGTCATATGCAGGATTGGAAAATGTGCGATTCCGTCTGCTGCTGGGTTGGTGATCTGCTCTGTCTGAGCAACCGGTCAGCTTCTTCTTAGCTTGGTCAAGGTCATCTCCATTTTTGGCAAAAATTCGGAGTATGTTTGTACGACTTTCAGAAGGGATACAAACTATCCCGACTTGCTTATTCAGAATTTTCAGAATCTCTTCTCTAGATTTTGGTTGATTCTGGCAATCTATAGTATAAGATATCAAGTTTTGAATGTGTTCTTGTAGCCTGTCCACATCTCTCTGACATTCTTTTTCCCCAACAGAATCACAATAAATTTCGACGCTCGGTCCTTCCCTTTGTCTTTTAACTGTCCATGTCTTTTCAACATCATTTATTTCCTCATTCAAAAGGCCAAGCAGCTTCTTTGCATCATCTTTATAAAAACGCTTCAGCAATTTCTGAAATGTCAACATAAAAATGAGTTATTATATATCTTTGTCTGAAGTCAGAAGATTAAGTTTTCTTAGAAGTCTGTCAATCATGTTTTGTCTGAGGTCTCTAGATGGTGTGTTTGTGATCGAAAAAAAAAGAGTTTGAGTCTTTTAATCATGTTTTTCTTCTTTTTTTTTAAATTTCATTTTCCTTTTTTAGCTCACCTGGCCCGAAGGAGGGCCAGGTGAGCTTATGCCATGGTGCAGCGTCCGTCGGCCGGCTGGCCGGCGTCCGGCATCAATATTTTACTTTAAACAACTTCTTCTTAATAACCAAAAGGCCTAGGGGGATGATATTTTGCCAGAAGCAAACTAGGATGAAGGGCTACCAAGTTTGGTTGAATAAATGACCTTCGTCCATTTTTAAGGTCACATGTGTCAAATATGTTTAAAACTGTAAAAAACTTCTTCTGAATAACCAAAATGCCCAGAGTGATGAATTTTGGCTAGTAACATGCTGGGATGAAGGGCTACCAAGTTTGTTTAAAAAAATGAACTTCACCTATTTTCAAGGTCACAGGGGTCAATTGTCTTAAAAAATCTTTACACAACTTCTTCTGAATAACCAAAATGCCCAGAGTGATTAATTTTGGCTAGTAACATGCTGGGATGAAGGGCTACCAAGTTTGTTCAAATGACTGACCTTCGTCCATTTTCAAGGTCCCAGGGGTCAATTGTCTTCAAAAATCTTTATACAACTTCATCTGAATAACTAAGAGGCCTAGGCTAATGATATTTGGCCAGTAACATGCTAGAATGAAGGGCTACCAAGTTTGTTTGAATAAATGACCTTCGTCCATTTTTAAGGTCACATGGGTCAAATATGTTTAAAACTTTAAAAAACTTCTTCTGAATAACAAAGAGGCTAAGGATAATGATATTGGGCCAGTAGCATGCTGGGAAGAAGGTATACCAAGTTTGTTCAAATGAATGACCTTGACTTATATTCAAGATCACAGGGGTCAAATATGTTAAAAACCTTTAAACAACTTCTTCTGAATAACTAAGAGGCCTAGGGTTAAGGTATTTCGCCATTAGCATGCTGGGATAAAGGGCTACCTATTTTAGTCAAAAGAATGACCTTAACTTATATTCAAGGTCACAGGGGTCAAATATGTAAAAAAAAAACTTTAAACAACTTCTTTTGAATAACTAAGAGGCATAGGTTTACGATATTTGGCCAGTAGCATGCTGTGATTAAGGGCTACCAAGTTTGTTCAAATGAATGACCTTCTTCCATTTTCAAGGTCACAGGGGTCAATTGTCTTAACAAATCTTTAAACAACTTCTGAATAACTAAGAAGCCTAGGATACTGATATTTGGCCAGTAACATGCCAGGATGTCGCTACCAAGTTTGTTCAAATGAATGACCTTTACTTATTTTCAAGGTCACAGGGGTCAAATATGTTTAAACCCTTAAACAACTTCTTTTAAATAACTAAGAGGCATAGGGTTACGATATTAGGCCAGTAGCATGCTGTGATTGGGGGCTACCATGTTTGTTCAAATGAATGACCTTCGTCCATTTTCAAGGTCACAGGGGTCAATTGTCTTAACAAATCTTTAAACAACTTCTGAATAACTAAGAAGCCTAGGATACTGATATTTGGCCAGTAACATGCCAGGATGTCGCTACCAAGTTTGTTCAAATGAATGACCTTTACTTATTTTCAAGGTCACAGGGGTTAAATATGTTTAAAACCTTTAAACAACTTCTTCTCAATAACCGAAAGTCTTAGGATGATGATATTTGGCCAGTAGCATGCTGGGATAAAGGGCAACCAAGTTTATTCAAATGAATGACCTTAACATCTATTCAAGGTCACAGTGGTCAATATATGTTTAAATCTTTAAATGACTTGTTCTGTATAACCAATAGGTCCATGGTTATGATATTTTGCCAAAAGCATGCTGGGTTGAAAGACTTTAAACTCTGTTCAACCTAATGTCCTTGTTCGACATTCAAGGTCACAGGCGTCATATGTTTAAATCTTTTAATAGGCTCTTATAAATCAAACACTGATATTCTTCCTGTAGCTGCATTTTAGTCCACTTTTAAGATTACAAGTGTGAGATTAATACCAGGTGAGCTATTCAGGCCCATTGGGGGGCCTCTTGTTATAAACAACACATTTACACACAAAGCAACAATTGCAAGCAATATTACATTACGTTGATTATAACGGACACCTCTTTACAAGAGACTAATTATATACACACACAGGGGGTGGCTTTTTTATCTTTTTATTATGCAAGTCTATACTATTTTTGCAGTTTTTTTGCTTAATTATCAAGAACTTATCAGATTTAAGTTCGAAGAGTATGTAATTCTTTAAACTCGTTATATGAAGTTCCATTTCTAGACATTTCATTTTAACAATAGGCCCAATGGGCCTGAATCGCTCACCTGGTATTAATCTCACACTACAGGCAGAATATCAGTGTTTAATTCATAAGAACCTATTAAACATTTGACGCCCGTGACCTTGAATGTCAAACAAGGACAATAGGTTGAACAGAGTTTATAGTCTTCCAACCCAGCATGCTTCTAGCAAAGTATCATCACCCTGTACCATTTGGTTATACAGAACAAATCATTTAAAGATTTAAACATATATTTAAAAGCATGTTAATGGCCAAATATCATTACCCTAGCTGTCTTGGTTATTCAGAAGAAGTTGATTAAAGGTTTTAAACATAGTTGACCCCTGTGACCTTGAATGTAAGTCAAGGTCATTTATTTGAACAAACTTGGTGGCCCTTCATCCAAACATGTTACTGGCCAAATATCATCACACTAGGCCTCTTGGTTATTCAAAAGAAGTTGTTTAAATATTTTTAACATATTTGACCCCTGTGACCTTGAATATGAGTAAAGGTAATTTATTTGAACAAACTTGGTAGCCCTTCATCCAAACATGTTACTGGCCAATATAACACCCTAGGCCTCTTGGTTATTCAAAAGAAGTTGTTTAAATGTTTTTAACATATTTGACCCCTGTGACCTTGAATGTAAGTCAAGGTCATTTATTTGAAAAAAAATGGTAGCCCTTCATCCCAGCATGTAACTGGCTAAATATCATCACCCTAGGCCTCTCAGTTATTCAGAAGAAGTTGTTTAAATATTTTTAACATATTTGACCCCAGTGACCTTGAATATGATTAAAAGTAATATATTTGAACAAACTTAGTAGCCCTTTATCCCAGCATATTACTGGCCAAATATCATCACTCTAGGCCTCTTGGTTATTCAGAAGAAGTTGTCTAAATGTTTTTAACATATTTGACCCCAGTGACCTTGAATATGATTCAAGGTCATTCATTTGAACAAACTTGGTAGCCCTACATCCCAGCATGTAACTGGCTAAATATCATCACCTTAGGCCTCTTGGTTATTCAGAAGAAGTTGTTTAAAGGTTTTTAACATATTTGATCCCTGTGACCTTGAATATTAATCAAGGTCATTCATTTGAACAAACTTGGCAGCCCTTCATTTCAGCATGTTACTGGCCAACTATCATCACCCTAGGCTTCTTGCTTATTCAGAAGAAGTTGTTTAAAGGTTAAAAACATATTTGACCCCTGTGACCTTGAATATAAGTCAAGGTCATTTATTTGAACAAACTTGATAGCCCTTCATCCCAGCATGTTACTGGCCAAATATTAACACCCTAGGCATCTTGGTTATTCAGTAGAAGTTGCTTAAAGATTTTAACGTCTTTGACCCCTGTGACCTTGAAAATAGACGAAGGTCATTTATTTGAACAAACTTTGAAGCCCTTTATCCGAGCATGTTTCTGGCGAAATATCAACACCCTAGGCCTTTTGGTTACTGAGAAGAAGTTGTTTAAAGTAAAAAGTTGACGCCAGACAGACGACGGATGGACAGACGACGGACGGACGCTGGACGCCGCACCATGCCCTTCGGGCCAGGTGAGCTAAAAATGTATTGTTTAATTAACAATATGATAAGATTATCTATTATCAAATCAGCATCCTCAGAACTGAATTGTCCAAATATGAATTCCTGTTTGTCAAAATTTAAATCAATATTACTGGTTGCAAGTAATTGTTTTAGTTCTCTCAAAATGTGACATACTTTACAACAATCCCAAACTAGATGTTCAATTGTTTCTGGAAATGTTTTGCAAAAAGTACAAGTTGAATTTTGTTTTATACCTATTTTGTGTAGGAGTGTGTTTGTAGTTAAGACTCTATGGTTAATTCAGTATTGAAGCCATCTTAATTTAGTACTATCAGTAGTCTTAAAAGGACATGCATAAATCTTTTTCCATAATTCGGCCTGAATGTTAAACACTGTAAACTATTTCCTTTGTGACGTGGGTTTTGTATCATTTTGGCATAAAACAGCATACATATCCTGTGCCCCTTTAGTCATCCTTAATATAATATTAAGATTTAAAGGTATATTAGGTAAGCAACTACTCTTTTCTAAAGAAAAGATTTCTTGTTTACTATTGATAAACTGTTTTATAGCACTAATTATACTGTGAAAATTTAAAACAAGAGGCCCAATGGGCCTGCATCGCTCACCTGGTATAAATCTCACACTTGTAACCTTAAAAGTGACCTAAAATAAAGCTACAGGCAAAATATCAGTATTTATGATTAAAATTCATTCAAAAGAGCCTGTTATTATTTTTTAAAACATTTCACCCCTGTGATTGAAAGTCGAACAAAGTCATTATGTTGAACAAATTTTATAGCCTTTCATCTCAGGATGCAACTTGCAAAGTATCAACATCCTGGGACCCATGGTTATTCAGAAGAGGTCGTTTAAAGATTTTAAACAAATTTGACCCCTGTGACCTTGAATATAAGTCAAAGTCATTCACTTTAACAAACATAGTAGTCCTTGATCCCAGCATGCTACTGACTAAATATCAACATCCTGAGCCTTTTGGTTATTCAGAAGAAGTTGTTTAAATATTTTGAACATATTTGC